AGGCTGTGAGACCGGAGTTAAGCGGTGTTGGCCAGTGATTGTGGGTCATTATATTTGTAATGCTAAGTTGGGTACCCCCCCCCCCCATCTCCTCCTCTACAGAACAGATGGGTAGAGTCCTGCAAAGAACCTCCATCTCCACCAACATCAAGGAACGTCTCGACTTCTCCTGCGCGGTGTTCGGACCAGACGGGGGTTTAGTTTCCAATGCACCCCATATACCTGTCCACCTGGGGGCCATGCAGGAGACCGTCCAGTACCAGGTGCAGGAAGTGTACTGTTTTGGTTTTTTTGTGGGGGGTGGGATGAACCTCACAGTGAAAACAAAGGATCTTCGCTTTCTTCTATCATCTGCAGATCAGATCATTGGGGACCGAGCTGAAAGAAGGCGATGTGATTCTGAGCAACCACCCGTGTGCCGGGGGCAGCCACCTTCCCGACCTCACAGTCATCACGCCGGTCGGTCCCTCCCACTGATGTCTCCCTTCTCTCCTCATAACTTAAGGCTTCATTTTCACCACTTGGCTTTTTCACTTTACTCTGTTGTCTGTTGCCCTTTTCCTCCCAGGTGTTTAGGAAAGGAGTGAGCAGACCAGTGTTCTTTGTCGCCAGCAGAGGGCACCACGCCGACATTGGAGGCATCACACCGGGCTCAATGCCGCCCCACTCCACCTCCCTGCAGCAGGAGGGGGCCGTCTTCGTTTCATTTAAACTCGTCACCGGTGGCGTCTTTCAGGAAGAGGGTAAGAGAGGAGGACACAACCCAGGCATCGGTGTGAAGGACAGATGAAGTGAGGGAAGGCAGATCTCTGTCTGATCTGCTGTCTCGATAAAAAACAAATGTATATTTGGGAGTGTTATCTATACGCGACACATATTGGGAAACATAACTGCGTAATTTTCCAAATCATAAAAAATGTCCTAATGTTGAAGAACTGCCATGTTTGGAAGCTTTCAAAATAATAACCTTCATTTCGCATTCACCTAACTTTCTTCAAGCTTTTCTCTTTTCTTGTCTCCTTTTCCAAACTCCATTCCTCTCATGCTTGTTCCCTCTGTATGTATTAGCTCTGACTGCAGCTCTGATGGCTCCGGCCCAGTACCCAGACTCCTCTGGGACTCGTAATCTCCACGACAACCTGTCAGACCTGCGGGCCCAGGTGGCGGCCAATCAGAGAGGCAGCCAGCTGGTGGGGGAGATGATTGACAGCTACGGGTTAGCTGTGGTCCAGGCCTACATGGGATACATTCAGGTAACTGTGGCTACATGCGAATTGTGTGTAGGGGAACAAGCAAGCAAATACTGTAATACTGCAGCCTTTGGGTTAATGTTTCAGAGTAATGCGGAGCTGGCAGTGAGGGACATGCTCAAAGACTTTGCACGTCGTCGACGGCAACAGACCGGCTCCTTGGAGGTGGAGTCGGAGGATTTCATGGATGACGGGACGGCCATCAGACTGCGGGTTCAGATTAATGAGGAAGAGGTGGGGCGGGGAGGACCTCCTCGTGATAATCCAAACATTTTGTCTCGCCCAATAAACAAACGTCACATAAATAAAACCTTCGCAGGGAAGTGCGGCGTTTGACTTCACGGGGACGGGAACAGAGGTTTGGGGCAACTGCAACGCTCCGCGCGCCATCACGCTCTCTGCCCTCATCTACTGCCTGCGCTGCATGGTGGGACAAGACATTCCCCTTAATCAGGTAAGCAAGCTTATTCTGGGTTTAGGGCACATGTTTGAAGTTACTCGCTCGTCATCCTCGCTGCATTTTAAAAATGAATCCTCTTTTCGTATAATTTGTAGAATTAAGGTGTACCCTTTTCTTATTTCCAGGGGTGCCTTGCACCAATCAAAATCATCATTCCCCCTGGATCAATCCTCCAGCCTTCCCAGAATGCCGCTGTGGTGGGAGGAAATGTACTCACATCCCAGAGAGTGGTTGACGTCATATTTAGGGCATTTGAGGTGTGCGCTGCTTCACAGGTGAGAAAATCTGTATTTGAACATTAAAACAATCCATATTAACTCTCCTGAAGCGTCATATTATTTATATATATATATATTTTTTTTGACATTCCTATTCCCATCAGGGCTGCATGAACAACATTTCATTTGGCAATGACAGTGTAGGTTACTATGAGACCGTTGCCGGCGGAGCAGGGGCGGGGCCAGGCTGGAACGGGAGGAGTGGCGTTCACAGTCACATGACCAACACCCGCATCACTGATCCCGAGATCCTGGAGAAGAGGTCAGACACGAGACACAAGTTTTAGTTGAACAAAAGAACAATTGTGTGCAATGCTAATATGATGGATGTCATTGAATGTGGTGCTCAGGTATCCCGTCATCTTAGAGCACTTCTCTCTGCGGCCCGGCTCAGGAGGTGCAGGAAAGTACTGCGGTGGAGACGGTGTGGTGCGGAAACTTCTGTTCAGGAACCAAGTGGTGCTGTCTGTACTGACGGAGAGGCGATCCACCCGTCCCTACGGCCTCATGGGTAAACTTTGAGGTCTTTTTAGGGGTGGGGGTTGAAGTAATAGCTGTTTGCTAGTGGTGTCACTTTCTTTTTTATTTTGTTTAGTCATTTACTAACTTCTCTCTGCTGGTTAGGGGGTGAGGACGGGGCAGCAGGCCTGAACCTGCTTCACAGAGCAGACGGTCGAGTCCTCAACCTGGGGGCCAAAACCAGTGTCAGCCTTCAGCCCGGGGTAACACGCATCTGTGAAATTACTGCTACTAAGTGAATTTTGTTATGTTTTGCGTGACTAAAGGTTGTATAACGTAACTGAAAGTGAACTTCTCCAGGCAACTTCAGACATATTCGTATGTGAAACCATATTTTTATGAGTAGTAAATAGTGTCCCATGTCTCGATGAAAAGGGTCAGATAAATCTGGCCTGATGGGAGTTTTGTAAATTTCTTTTGTGCACAACTTTAAAATTGAAATATGGTCAAGCAGTCTGAAAGTAATCGGAAAACATCCTTTAAGGTTTCAGGAGGCAACTGTTGGTAAGAAAACTGAATAGACAGCTGAATCCCCTCTCTGTATGTGTCTCCTGCGACAGGACATGTTCTGCCTCTACACCCCTGGGGGAGGAGGGTACGGAGGAGAGGGGGACACAAACCGACGACCCGAGACCAAGCGCAGGCGCCTGAACGAGTCCTTCCCCGAGAGGGGCAGTGTCTTTGAATACCGAATGGCACAAGAGGGTGTGTGAAAATAAATTGAGGAGACGGAGAGCCGGCGCACAGGCTAGAGGAGAAGTAACGTGGTGGGCAAATAACTCCACTAGAGGTGGAGATGGAAAGCACAGAGTGGGGCACTTTGTCAAAGATGGATTGATTCTAGAGATAAAGGGAGAGCGTGGTAACAGAATTACACTGGGAGGAATAAACAAGAGATTACTCGTACCAACAACTATCATTAAAGTCAACATCACTAGAATAGAGATTATTAAAATACTGGTCTGCAGAATGTTTGCTAACATTTATATTAAAGGAGTACGCCATAGGATGTTTTGCTCAGTTTAATGTAACATTCAACCCATTAGTTTAAATGTCTTTTTGTTATTTGGGAAAATCTGAGTAGCTTTCTGCAGGTTTTACAGTCACGTCCTCTTAACACGTATGCCGCTAAACATTTCATTTCATGGAGACATCAAATTAAGACATAGTGTGTATATTTTCCTACTGAAATGCTTTTAACTGAATGAAATCCAGCCTGCCTATGCCAGAAAGTAGCCAAACATGTGAAGCAGCTGCTAATCCATCCAGTGGAACAACCACTTCTCTAAATCCACAACGCCACAATGTGGTTCCTGGTCTTCTGTTATTTGAACAACAAATAAACCCCATTTGTACTATTTCCATCGTGTTCTTTGTGCATCTTTAAAAAAAAGTTTCTCTGATACGTTTTTGCCGCTTTGGAGGAAATGTGCCAGTACAGTAAAGCGAAGCGAAGATTGATCGAATCCTCAGTGTAGCATTTGTCCCGCGTCACGCTCCGTCTACCACACCGGGTGAGTCACATTATGTAATGTCCCTCTTTTCACTTTTGTCCCTTTGTTAACGGGTCGTTTGGTCGAGTTGTTTGTCGGCACTTTCCTCATTATGTAAGCAGTTGGTAATTGAAACAGGTGAGCTGTTCAAATCATTTAAATGCCACTTCACTGCCTCCGAGGTTGTTGTTTTTTTAGTTTGGGGACTTGGGAGCAGTTGAAATGCACACAAAAAAAACTGCAAAGGACCGGTGTGGCTGCCAGTCATTCATGTATATTCATGAAAGCAGTTTTGAGATGCAACACATAGTGGTCGTGTGTTCGGGGGAAGGGGCACATGTCCCGGTTGAACTGGTGCCCCCCCCTTCCCTCCTGGTCAGGAATGATCAGGGAGGAGAGCAGGACGGATGGTGAGGGAGTGCAGGCATGCGTAGGCAGCTGATAAAGAGATAGTGGAAGCAGCGGGAGGCCGATGGTTGTCGGACTGTTGATGTTAATCAGCTGGCAGTGTGTGCATGTTTGTGTGCTGGAAACTCGGCTGCAGATGTCATGGGCCGGGGATCAAAGATGGTTTTCCTTCTTTTCGAGAACAGAATTCCTGTGGTAAAACAATCCATCATACTGAGAGGATTTGAGACTCACCCCCTGCTACGTGGGACAATCTCCATCTTTATCCACAGGCTGATAGTCAGCTTTGGGTTATGGGTGTGTGTTCTCTCATTATGGGAGAATGCGAGACGGGGAGAGGGCGAGAAAACAAGCATGAATCAAGAGAGGCCTTCCAGAATAGCATGTCATTAGCAAGGTTCTGCACCCCCGGTGTTTGTGGCTTTCACTGGACAGGAAGATTGGGGTTCAGCTATTAGCTCGGTATTAGTTGTAAAAAAGTGCAATTTAAACATTCCTTTTTGTTGAAGACTCATCTGAACTTAAATGTTTTTTTTCTTCTCACTTTTAATACTTAAAATCAATTGCTTTATTTGAAGGACTTTGATGTATAATTAGTACATTGGCGTATTGTATCTTTTACTAGTACTTTTCACATTAAGGAGATATGGATTGATGCTATTCAGGAGTTTTTCGAATTCTACTTCATGTCAAAGGATAGGTTCTCATTTGAAATTGGCCACATACATTAAAACAAATGAAGGACTATTTTGCACTGAATCCACAATTCTTGTTTTGTGAATCTATAGATTCGTGGAAAAATAAAGACAGCTGTTAGTCCAGTTGTGGTTGCGTAGCTCTTCTACCACCAAGCTTTAAAGACACACAAGGACTTAGAAACCATCTGAACAAACATACTAAAACCAAGTAACATAGAAATGATACATTTATAAAGGGAATCCAAGATTTACAAATACTCATTACAAAAAGACAAAGTTCTGCCGTTTTAGTTGACTCATTTTTCAATGCAATACAGAGCAGCCCATTTAAAACCAACCTTTTATTTCACACCCTGCTCGACTCCATAAGCTTATTTTTATATTTAAACTTCTGAGCTGCTTACACTCCAGCTCAGTCCTGTAAATACACTGGTAAAAAAAAAATGGTAGAAAACTTTTACCTGAAAAGGCACATGCAGATATTAATACGCATTTTACTTTGGATGACCATAACAACGACATAAAATAGTGCAAACAACCGACAGTGCAAAAGCCACAAGAAACGTTTCTTGGACTGTTTAAAACCTGAGGTAGATATTTGTGGTGGTTGATCGTCTCCAGTGTCCTGAGTTTTTTTTACATTACAAAACCAAAAACATGAAGATGCGACAATTACAGGGCTAACGTGCAGTATCACTATCTGTTTAATCTGCTTGGGACCGATACAGACGGTCTAAATTTGACCAACATTGAGGTATGTGTCCTGTATATTTAACCATCTGAGCAAACACACTAAAACTCAAATAAAACATGTGTGTACACATTGTCAGTGTGTCTGTGCGCACAGAGCAAAGAAAAAAAAATCATTAAATGATGTTATTCACCTAACCATTCTATATTCTTCTTAGAAAGCAGGATACACCAAAAGAAAAATATTGCATTTGATACTTTGTTGCTCATAATAACTGTATCCACGACCATCCAATCATGTGTAAACTTCAAGATTGAATCCAACCATACATTCAGCCATCACAGGTGGAAGACGACATACAAATTGTGTAAGAAAGCAAATTCATGCAAATATATAAAACAGTGCAAACACGATTGACAGTGCAAAGAGCCAGCCGTGGAGCACACTGCATTTCCCTGAAAGCCTGAGGTAGATCTTATGTTGCCCTTTGTGGTACATTTCTTTCCAATAAAGAGAGTTTAAAATTTTGTCCTCAAAAAAAGAAAATAACATGAACCCATCACTTATACACGCTGTAGTTCAGCGCTGATTTTGCATATTAAACATTGAGCCGGAGGAAGTGAAACTCGATTCAGCAGGACCTGCAGCAGAAATGCGTTTCCCTTGCATCGTAGTGTGATATGAGTGACAGCATGAGGCCACAAGTCAGTGTTTCAGTCCAGTCAGAATTGAGAATACCTGTTTAAGGGAGGGCCATTTGGTAGTGTGTACTGACTGGGTGCTTGATGATGCTGGTGAGAGTTATGATTGGTTGGTACCAACAAGTCAAACACACTCTTATTCGGAGGCACAGATTGCAACATGTTGTCCAGATCCATTATGAGGGGAGGTGCTTGGACCGAAACTCGTCCGCTAGGGAGTATGGGCCAGTAGGTATGCCCTAAGAAGTGACTTGGTGCTACAGGAGAGCTACCGTAGCCATAAAGGGGAAGTCCGCCATGCAGCGGCATCAGAGGCCCTCCGTTGAACCGCATGCTGGGTGGGGCAACTGCATTTGGCGGTGCATACTTGGCGTAGGAGGTAGGGAGCTCCCATGGATGTGCAACCATCTCCCGTCGGGCTGACTTTTGCAGCGGCGCTCTGTAGTCCTCGTATCCGTCCGACCCAGCTTCCCCATCAAGAGGAACACGCTTCCCGGACAGGGAGGTGCCTTTCCACTCCTCATCGGATGAGGAGGTGGAGGGCGGGCTGGCCGAGCTGGCCGAGGCACTGCGGGCAGAGGAGGCGTAGCGAGCCCGAAGAGGCGGCGAAGGCCGAGTGCGCTCCGCCTTGCCCCAGCAGTCCCTGGTAGACGCGTCCACGTCCCCGGAGGCACTGGTTGGTCGCAGGCTGTGCAGCAGAGAGTCGATGGCGAAGGACGAGTCCAGCTTGGGTTGGAACATGTCCTCCTGCGGCGGGGAGGGGGGTTTTGAGCACATGGTGGGCAGGGGGACGGCGGGGGCAGGTGGAGGCTCCGATTCTGGCTGGTGTCCCTGCAAGATATAAGGGGCGAGATCCTGGGCAAAGATAGTTTCATCTTGACGCGAAACAGCAGTGTTCTGCCTCTTGAGGAGCTCCAGAGGAACGAGGCTCAGCTCCACTGCCCAGAAGTTGCCTTTGCCCTGAGGCTTCGTTGGGTCCTTCAGCACCTGCAGGTGGAGGGAGGGACGAGAGTGGGATGAGCACTTAGGCTGAAAAAACCTAGTCTAATGAAACCTACTTTCAGTGTTAACATCACAATAACAGCGGATAAAATCTCGAGACTGGTTTGGAGGTGCAAACTAAAGCCTTCAGAGTGTATTTCCACAAGCAAAGCTCAATGCAAATGTGAAGCCTGTATTTTGTGAACTGTCCATCAAGACCTCTGACAGAAATAAATGGAGAGTTAAACATGGAATTGTTTAGCAGTTTTAACATACCTTCACAAAACAGTCATAAGAGGAGAGGTTGTGTCGCACAGAATCCCGCCAACCCTTGTAGTTTCCTTTGAAGAATGGGAAGAGAGTACTGATCTCCTTGAGGATCTGGAAATAAAACAAGAATGTCAGTCCGGAAGATGTTTGTCTTTACTGTATTTCAGTTTAGTATGCTATACAATCTAAATGCACATTATCATGATGACTAATAATAGTAGCTTTAAAAGTTAGAAACTAAACCGGATGTATCTTTCACTTCAGTTGTCCCAGAATTTAAAAAAACACGAGAAGTTGTATTGCCAGTACTTTTATAGTATTTCAACTAAAATGGGATTTCACCAAGCACTGCACATCCCCATGTTATCACCTTCCTGATACAGATTAGTGTCTGGTTTCACTGCAGTCCAACCTTATCAAAGCAAACCAAGAATGGTAGGGGTGATAGTCACTCAAGTGTCACGGCAGGCTGCTGTTTTGTGTCACTTTATGAACTGTACATCCTGTCAGCGTTACATCGACATAGTAAATAGAAAGGTTTATCTTTTGGATCAGTAACCATCTGATTCTAAATAGTGCGATTACGGAAATATACTGTAGAGTATTTCATTTGAGATGCATTTAAATGATATACTGCCGAAATAAGCACGCACCGTGCGTAAAACACAACCTCTAACCAAATCGCCTTTCACTGGTTACTCAAACACATGCAATGTTCACGTATTCTTACCTCGGATAACGTCAGTTTCTTCTCTGGGGTCCTCTGGATGACCATAGCAATCATAGCGAGGTACGAGTACGGTGGTTTGGGGTACCGCTGGTAGTTCTTTTTCTTCCCACCGCTGCTGCTACACTTCTCCCGTTCGCTGTTCCACGAGTCCCCGCTAATAGTTTCCTGCGTGAAGTGGGCATCTTGAGGACTCTGGCAGGATGAGCCCGCCAGTGCGACTGAATCCATGAACGCCGTGGCGCTGGTGAGATGTCCGTGGCCAGCTGTGGGTTTCTCCACGCGCGACAACTGCTGGGGAACCATCTGAGCCAGGTGTGGAGGCCACTGTTGGACTGCGGAGTTCCGCGCTACACCCCTGGCCGGAAAACTCTGCTGCGCATTTCTGTGGAAGTCAAGTTGATGGCTGTGATGTTCTCCCAGGTGGGACAGAGCGGGTTGTGCAAAGAGGGTCTGCTCCGGCCAGTGCTTTGTCATGCTGATCCTCCGGAGGGGAAGATCGGCCCGCACGTTCGGGCAGGAGCACAGAGAGGGGGAGGGAGGTCAAAGAGTCTGTCCTTAACTCCTGGCAGACTGCTGGCTCCAGGCTGACTCTATTTGAAGAGCAAACAATTAACAGTTTCATGTAAATCCCGCTGCGTAATCGAGGAGGGAATGACGCGTTATCTGAGAGCCGAATGACTGATCGCCCCGGGGGGCTGGGGAGGGTCTGTGTAAGAGGAGGGGCGAGAGAAAGACAGTAGACCTGTAAATAACCCTTATGATAATATCAACAGGCCACTTACAACGCAGATATTCCGAGTTTGCTCTTGGAATCAGTCCTTAGAAGACTTACGCACGCGGGGCCTAAACTATTAAGCCCGCGTATGATTTAGGCAAAGCTCTTAAAACAAACATCGCCGTTTATTTTGAAGAACTACAGAAACGATGGTAATATGTTGATTTCACCACGGCCATTGAAGCCATTGACCATGTTGTGAAGGCTAATTCAAAACCATAAAAGACTTTTCTATCGAGAGTGAGTGACACTTTGGTGATGAGGAGGAAAGTAAAGCTCGGTGGGGGATGGGTGGGGTTGAGAGGGAGAATTTCGATTGAAGCTTAAACGCAATCAACAGTTTATGGTGAGCAATATACAAAAGAAATGTCTAATATACAAACGTCGAAACATGAATGAAATCATGAGTCCTTAATTCATTTCAACAGGCAATGTCAAAGTGATGTAAGTATTTGATTTGGTAGAGAATAGCTTTTACATTGCGAGGAATAGAATGGAAGGTTGCATTGCAGGCAGTTATAGGTCACCCTAAATCCAGAGAGGAAGGTATGCACCTGTAAACTCTTAAAAAAAACTTTTTCAATTTAAACGATAATGTACAAATTGTGTATAAATTATTTGGAGCCATGGTGGTGCGTCTCTGATAGCGCACAATATTCGAGGGGTGTTTTGCGCACAGTAGGGTGTCCCTGTGACCACGCAGGACGTCATTCAGTGTTGAATGACTTAGTTTCGGGAATGCATGTCTTTTGTTCATGTTAACGTAGTGCTAATGTGCAAAAGCTTTCTTCCCAGCAAGACAGTGAAAACAAGTTGGATTAGGTGGAACCCCGTTGGAGTCCAGCCCAAAAGAGCTGCTTAGCATGTGAGGAAATACGGGGGGAGCATTCAACACCATTTGTGGGTTTTCTGGCGCTTACAAGCTGCTAAGTGTCGTCGTTGAGTCGGACATTCACACCTTAAACAGGAGCAAACGTGTTGCATCGAAATATCTCTGAAACAAAAACGGATACACTCATTCCAGGAATCAACAACCTCTATATTATACGCATCGGGAACTGGAGGTTTAACGTTTTTAATTTCAGTAATTGTATAGTATAAATACATTTACATCACTCGATGCAAGGCAACTCTTGCAGCAGAGGAACGTACCACCCAGATTTGTCACAAGAAAGACAGGGAAACAAAGGAATAGCAAACAAGTCGATTTTCACACCGTAAGACGTTTCCAAACTGGTATCACACCATTTACATGTGCTTCCAAATCCACAATTCACTGTCAATGAACCTGCAGCCAGCCCGAATCCCCTTTATATAAATGACACAAAATAGCATCTGGTCATTTTTAGCTTTGATTTTGATTTAGAAACTCTCTATATAGAGGGATAGCAGAAATAAAGAGGGATTTATTGTGTTCCAAAATGATTAGCCTGTGTGTGAAACTCACCATGTAGATTTGCGAGTTTTGTCATTTTTGCATTAAAACCGATAAAGTGAGAACTTGTTATCCAGGTCAGATGGCTTCCCTGCCACGGTGAGCTCCAAACAGCCTTCACCTGCTGCGATTTGCATTAGTCCTTTTCTTCTCTGGTTCCCACGAGCACTGTTGCCCAGCCATAACGTTTGGCCCCCTCTAGTGGTTTCATCCCAAAAAATCAATGAGAAACTTGAACCCCATAACAAATCACTCAAGTAGCCTGCTCAGTTCAGAAAGTGGATTTGATGGAGAACTTTCTTTCTCTCAGTGACTTGGACAAATAAACATGCACGGGGGTTGAAATGTCTGATTTAAATACAAACTGTCTCTTCCTGTCTGCCAGAGTGCCAGTCAATAGGTTACGCCTGGATTAGTGAGCTACGCATGAGAAGAATGGGAAGCCATAGGAATAGGATAGCATCCGAGACAAGGCGGTTCACATGGGCCGATTGTGTCTGGACAAATCCCTCCTAAGCTGCCCTGGGATGCCTCCTGAAACTGAGATGGAGAGGATGAACGAAGTTTAGCTCTTTGTGAAAGAGACCAAAAAAACCAGAGGAAGTCTTCATTGTGCTGTCTCAGCTTTACTACTTCAAGAGTCTTATTTTCCCTCTGTGTCTCTATTATTTCGTTTTTATTTTACTATTAATTTACCGGGACAATACACAACACATGCCATGCATCAGGTTCTCTGGACAGAGGCCTCCAGGGATGTGCAGCTTGACAAAGTATAATATATAAAGGCTAAAAATACAAAAACAAACTTCCTTGATTTTTTTTTTGTCTCCTGCAACAGATTTGTTGAAAAAAGAAAGTCGGTTGAGGCGTTTCCATCTCGTAAAATGTGTTATGAAATTCTATTTACATCCATTTTGTTGCAGGGACTGCAGACATCTCCATGTTAAAAGTCTAAAGACAAAACTACAGCAAACCTTTTTCTACATAAGTTTTCTTAACTATTTTCTTTCACATTGTATGCAAATGTTACTTTAAACATTGTAAAAGTACTGCATTCTATATTATCTTGAGGTCCAGAGACAGTGGCTAATGCTCCCAAGCTGTTTCCTCACAGCGCCCCAGAGTGTCGCTGATGTGGTTGACCAGTTTATTTCACAGGTCAGCAGATCTCAGGGTCATTGGCGTCCGTCTGTGTGGTGGTATTAACAACTGATCCTCACCCAACCTTTCGATTCAGAAGCCTGTGCGTCAAATGTATATTCGTTATAGGTATTTCTCAGAAGCATCTGTTCAGGCTGGAGTTGCGAACATTGTTATGTAGGATCTCACCAGGCAAAAACACACTGACAGTTTAATCTGAAAAAAAACAGAAGCGCATTCATGCTTGTCAAACCAGATGAACAGTATAATGTCTTACATTAACTCTGTGACGAACACATGTTTAGGCACGTAAACACACCCTATAGTCCTCTCACCAAACAAGGCCCAGATGCTTTTTTCACTGTCACACTACTGGGTTGTTCTCCTTTCTCAGGAGCACTTATCTGTAAAAAAAAGGAAATTATGTTACAACAATGACCGTATTTTTGTAACATTCCATAATTAGCAGTGTCTGATATTTATTCAGTAAAACTGTCTTAGGAAAGTGCTCTGTGGATGGATGTGGTTGCCATGCCAACTGCAGCGGGACCCTGATGTTGGACCACTGACAGCTAAGGTAAAGAAGGGAGATTGTTATCCCTAACTCATCATTATTGCTATTTGCCCGATTATTATCTCCCTCACCCTGAGAAATTGAGCAACACCGTGTCTTCTTCTACTTCTCTTCACTACTGCTATTCATTATGTCCTGCCTTGGCAACAGCAATTTCGGATGCTGGTTTGGTTCCATCCGACACACTACTCCGTAAACTAAATTGTGCTTCACTCTGGGGAAAACTTTGTCGTTCGCCATTTATCGCTGTCGCATTTCAAGGGCCACACACACACACACACACACACACACACACACACACACACACACACACACACACTCTGGTTGTGTAAAGTTCGATGGAAACTAAAGTGTAACTACTGGACGCAAGTGGACACTTTGATTGAAAAGCGGGCTCGGTCGCCCCCTAGTGGGCGTGTCCTGCGGGAGGAGAGAGAGAGAGTGAGAGAGAGACCTAGAGAGAGCGCAGGTCCGGTTGTTATGGTGACGCGTTTCTCCTCGAAAGGGGACAGCGGCAGATTCGGTTACACCGCGGCAGACCTGCGCGGCGGCTCCAGCTGACAGGTAAGGCGTCGACGCCCTGTGTTCTACCCCCGTTCACGTCGGTATCGTTCAACCTTTTGCTCGGCTTAATTATTCGAGTCGGTTTCAACCGAAAGTGTCGCGTGGGCCGCGGAAACTTCTTTAATTCACTCAAAAAGACCAGCGCAACTGCGTGAGCGTTAACGCCGGTTAGCGGATAATTAAGCTAACCCGAGGCTAAGGTAACGTTAGCATGACACAACACCTGAGACAGTCGACTTTATCGCTGCTCAACAAGTCCTCTCACTGGCTTTTTTGTGTGTTGTTGTTGCACCACGACGGTCCCCCGGTTCGGACGGACTCGCCGCTGTTTACTTTATCCGCACCCAGACGCGATGGACGAAGCCAGGTTAGCTTGAACGAACTGTTTACCTCACCTGTCAGACGAGCCACCTGTTGAGCCTGTCTGCGGACCGCTAGGTAGGTCGGTGTTAGCTAATCCGCCGCTCACGGTTAATCCCACGATCACACGAGACGAAAGCTCTCGGTGGCTTCTTGATTTTGCTTCTTCATATCTAACGTGAGATAATCTGATTAAACAAGCGCAGAGTTGTGCATAGAACATCTGAATGACTTTTCTACCTCGAGCTGCAGATACAGTCCTGTTGTTAATCTAAATTATTTGTGAGCAGGTTATAATTTCATTCATTTCTGCGAGGCTTGGTTGCTGTTGTTTGTCCTGTGTGGCACATAGCTGGCAGATTATTTGCTAATGAAAAATGATAGTTCGCTGCCACACTAATATTGAGATATGTCGTTGGTCTTGGCGATTGTTTTACCGACTACATAATGTACTGATAAGTAAATTATTGACCTGAAAAGATGTCCTGTCATCAGTTCTTGCTAAAACCTCATAAGAAGTTTTGCTCATAAGTTCTGTACAATAGCGTTTCCTTGCTGTGTATTGTCAAATATTTGCAGGTTTCACAAGATTAACTTGTAGGCCCCTTGATTCACAGCATCACACACGCACGCGCCCTAGAGGATCTAGAAGGATCATAAAAGTTTAGATTTAATTTCACCACTGTGCGTAGGTGTGTATTTCAGTGGACCGTAACCTCGGTGATCATTCACTAAATTCAGATCCAAAGGGTCCATCCACCATTGTGGCAACAATGGGATCTTTCAACTGAATGTGGACTTTATTAGAAACTTTGGATGAATGAATGAAGACCGGAATCCAGTGCATGACTGGAGTTAATCATTACAAACCTGTTTCTTTAACATCCTATTGCACCTTTCTTCTTTATGATAAGACTTTTTCAAGAGGTCCAAGGACCAGAGCAAACTGTATCTACCAAGGTTTGTCTCTCTGTAACATTCCTTATATCGAGCACGGCTCCCCCTCATTTGTTCTCACCGAGGCATTTCTCGAACTTCACCTCTGTGCATTTTTCAACGCGACATATACGTATGTCTCATCCCACAGGCGCCATTTAAGGAGTCTTTATTCCTGTGATCCTTCCCCACCTCGCCTTTGTGTGTCGACCCTACTTCCTGCTTAGGAGCTGTTGGAGGAGTTAAAAGTAGGCTAGTCCGTCTCCTCCCCGTCCTTCCTTTTCGTACCCTGCTCTATTGCTCTCGCATTCTTTCCTCCACATCCTCTGGCCTTCTCCGTCCATATCCTGTCCTACAGAGAAAAACGCAGGGACACAAATCTCAAATATATATGAGATTCTCTCTCTCTACTCTGTGGTGTTACTGATATTTCTGTGTAATTACAGTACCACTTTGGACACACTTTCTCATTGAATTGAAGGAGAAAATGTCTCAATAGTTTGAGTGGTACTGTATGTGGAGCAGCTTAAAGCCTTGCCAACATACAAGCCCTTAAATGTGCCCCAACCCCCCCCCCCCCCCCGCCCCCCTCCCTCCACTCACTCACATTCTGTGCTTCCCATGAGGGTTGCAACCATGCACATTATTTTTGTCCTCAAAGTGTCAGAAAGTAGAAAAGTAACGACACAGCCTGGGGTTTCTTCTTCAGATGCTTCATTCCAAAGACTAATACAAGGACCACCTCCTTTTGTTTTGAAGTAGTACAGTACCAGTTGAAAAACGACCTTTCTGGTCATTATGCAGGCGGTTTAGGGGACCTGGCATTGTTTCAGAGGGCAGACAGGATAGTTGCAGAGTCATCGTGCTGCTTTGTTTCAGCAGATCACATCAAATCTCCCACTGGGCTGGTGGTCGTACACAACAGCTGAGCAATGTCATCCCACGATGGCGAACCTTTAATGATGCCCTCAGCGCTGGTGGCCAGATGTAAGGCTGAGCAGGAGTTTTAGCTTTTTGTAAGTCCAGTCACAAGCTTCCTCTTGGTGAATGTAGGAGCTTGTGTTTTCCATACTGCCCCATTCATTCCAGCTGTTGAATGAAAGTGTATGTTCCTCAGCAGCCCATCCTGTTCGGTCGTTAAGACAGAAAAAGGGACATTTTTTCCCATCGCACAAAATGTGTAGTTGTATTTGCCAGTGTGTGCGCGAGTGCGCGCTGCCATGCCAGAGTTTGGAAAATACCGGTGATCTCACCGCGTCTTTTCCCGTCCGTCTGGGTTCTGCCTGACTCACAGAATCACAAGGTGCTCTTACACAGTTTACCCGACCGGGGCGAATGAGACGCCAGCCCAAGTTAGGTCTCTGCGTGCACTGACAGCAGACCACGAGTTCGTTAGGAAAATAGGCCGAGCTCAATGGGCAGAACACCGAGGGAGGAATCAGGTAAGAGCACAGAATAGTTGGTGTTCATTTTGTATGTATTTACTTTTTTCAATATTGAAGCTATTTCCACCTTAAATAACCACTTTGCTTGATGTATGTGTTGATTAATTTACATGGTAGGTTAGTTACTTTGTTAATGGTAAACTTGTTGTTTTAATACGGGTCTTTTCGGCCCTATTTATGAGAAATGAATCGCAATGTAAGCCATTGCTATTTCTAAATCGGAGGCGTGTCGTTCTCGGTGCTGCTTGTTGTGTTCTCTTTTTTACACAAGACAACCTGGTTTTCACTTTGTTTAGTTCCTTCTAAATTCTGGCCCACAATTCCAACCCCACGAGGCTACTTTGAGACTCCTCTCCCCTCTAAAGCGCACACTGGACCTAAAGGTTATAGTTAAGAGAGAGTCCATTTCAAAATAAGCACCCGGTGTGATGTAAACACTCGTGTTAAGTATAGGTTTAAGCCCGAAAGGAGGAGCGGGGAGTGACACGCAGCCTTTCAAGGCTATATTTGTTCTCGACTATATAAGCATAAAATATGCCAAGCATCTCAGTACCTTTTTATCATTCAGCCCCTTTTCCCTTCTCTTCAGCTCAGTTATTCTCCTACGGTGATGCAGATCATTACCATAAACATCTTTAAAGTATTTGGTCACGTGTGTGTCTCTGTGTGTGTGTGTGTGTGGGGGGGGGAGGAGCCAGTAAACATAGAGCTGTCTCCATTCCTTCAAGATCCTGCACTGATTGGCTTTGTCTGAGATTTGAGCTCTGCCAAGAAGCCTTGTGTGTGTGTGTTTGTGTGTGTGTGTGTCACTTTGCATCTGTGTGTCAAAGTTGTATCACAGTAGGATTTCTGTTTGTCTGGGCTGCATTCAATACAATCCTCACATGCACAGTATAAGAGGCCGACAGGTGAGGCCCGGTGCTGCTTGGTCAGGGTGGAAACACAGTCAGCGTGTGGCCCAAACCTTCTTTTGTACATTTTGAGTCAGAGCGTACATGGTTTTCTCTGGGGTAAGAGCGCTAAAGCACAAAACATTTCACCCAAAAAAGGGTGACGGGAAAGCTGTAGTTTTGATTGTTGTTAGCTAGTTAACCAGTTGTAAGATGGTTGTTAGCCATGATGTGTTAAAGTGTTGCGTGTGCAACCGGTAGGCACACAAGCTGTGTGCAGACCCCACATTGGCCATCACTGTAACCTCGATAGTGTGTGTTGAGTAGGCGGTTATTGTGAGGCATATTTGTTTTGTTCTTAATGTTGTTATTTATGCTGGCCTAACGATGTGTTTCCTGTCTGTTCCTTGCTCATTTTGTGTTAAGTTAACAAAACATTACTGACTACTTCTTCATCAATGCAATTCAACTTTCAAATCCAGTTCTCCTCTCTTGGTTTCTTTTCCAGTTTTGCCCATTGGAATAACATTGTGACAACCAACCCCATCACAGGGATGTTTATAATGGTCACAATGTTATTTTGGGGTTGTCACAATGTGTCGGTGTCTTTGATCGTTAATTAGCTCTTTGTTACAATAAGTTGGTAAATGGGAGGGATGCACATTTTAAGTCAACACCTTAAGCTTTAATTTAATGTAGGAGTGACTATTGAAATATGCTTTGACAATGAGCAATTTCAATTCCTCATTCAACTCTAACAGAATGTTAAGTTATGTTACAAAGCAAAAGAAGATGATGTTACGGAGTCTATGGCAGCGTCAGGCCATGAAACCATAACCCTAAATGGCTATAATTCCTGCCCCTGACATGTGTCATCAAATTGAAGCTGAAAGAACATTTAATCAGGCTTTGTTTGTCATAGAAATTGGATTGTAACATGCAGATTACCAAATCTTTTTTTGAATGCCCGTTTCCCCCCCACACCCTTTTTTAATGCTTTAAAACTAAAAATAATGTCCAACTCATTTGGAATTTGAGTCAAATGCAGTCGTGCATAATAATGCTTGGAAAATGACTTTCATTTGTGAGTCACCCAATGCTAATGTTTAAGATTGGGATCTTTAATCCTCTGATCTTTCAGATTGTGTTAGGTATTACCCCCCTAATGCAGCAGTCGCGTTAAGGATTTTCCTCTGTTCCTCCATTCCTTTCTCCTTTTAAAGCCCCTTAAAATGCCACAAAACACGCTCCCTGTTTCCAATTCACCAAAAACCGATCACCATTTTTCCTTGAGTTTCTTTTTTCTCTGTTTCTTTGTTCCTTTTAACAGGAACGTGGACTTTTTATTCAAAAGGAGGAAGGATTGTTAAAAAAAGGCCCCCCATGGATTATCGGCATTATAAATGAACCATGTCTGTGGTTTCCAATGCCGCGTTCATGTGTGTATTGTTTGAGTGAATGGTCATCGTAGTGGCCTGAAGTCAATGGGAGAGAATTAAGCTTATTAGCTCAGTCTAAGGAAATCCTTACATTGTAGCTTGTGACAAAGGGTGAAAGGTCAGGTATCCTAAAAATAGTAGGAAGGAATAGTAGTCGGTCCTCAAAGCCAGGCCAGGAGTTTAGTTAGCTAGGAAATGTTACTAATGCAAGCCAACTCTAAAGTCCCATACAGCCCATAGTTTATGATACTTGGTACTCATACTGCAGATATTCCTCAAGTAATAATAGTGTGTCATAATGTTGTAATACTACTTTTGTATAGGTGACCCTTTACAAAGGATGCATACTTAGTAGTTATCCATGGTGGCAACACAGTAGTGTCTTCTTAATCATGTTTTTATAGTGTAGTAACTGATTAATTAGCCATAGCTAAGCGTAACCGTCTTTTTACTCATGTATTGCTCTTTATAAAAGGTGCTTTATTAGAAAATGGTAGCTACCAGTTGCATTACCTTTCTGCCCCGTTTGCACCACCACAAAATGAATACAGGGAAATCTCTGGAAAAAACAATCTTAAAGCTCTTTATGGCTCATAGGGAAATAAACCAAAGAGGAATCCATCACGTGGGCTGACTTGTGTGGCGATGGGGTTTACCCACCTTCTCGTGTACGTGGGCGCTCGCTGCAGAGGCCCCCGAGGTCCGCAGACCACACGTCCCGTCAGTCGCTCTCCCTATCGCTATCTCACCGAGTGCCTCCAGTTGACCTTCCTCTCAGCCCTCACGGGCCTAAATAATAAATGACACACCTGGAAAGAGCAGAGTGCACGTGAGCCCAGGTGAGTTACCCGGGAAGTTAGCCCAAGGTAATGAGAGCGAGGGCGCGGCGGCTAGTACTCCTGCTGGATCCCGTCGCATAGCAGATATTTAACCGCTCCTCTGCTGGGCATGCCTCGGTCAGGAATCCCCCCCCCCCTCAGCCTCCTGTGTGTGTCGATGGCAGCATAGTGTGTGTGGTTGTGTGTGTGTGTCGGCCTGCAGGATGTGTCAATCATTAATGAAAGTCGTCCCACTGTCTCAGGTTCCCTTCGGGAGAGGGGCGGGAGAGGAGGGAGGAGGTGAAAGGAGCTCAGGGGTTAAAGATAACAGGGTTAGGAGAGCGCAGCGCCTACATTACTGTAACACAACCCCCCCATCCCTCTTTTCTCTTTCTATCTCCCCCCTTTTGCCTTCTTTCTCCCCTCTCCCTTCTCACAGTTGCCGAGAGAAGAGAATGTTGTTGAGGGCGCAGTCCTCAAAAGCTTCGTTTCCAGCTCTGCTTTTCGGAAGGTCTTCCAAATAGTCCAGCAGCAACAACGACGACGACAACGAGGACAAGAAGTGGAGTTTGGAATAGTTGTCACTCACCATTATGTGGTACTTGAATCCTGTCAGTGAATGAACTGAATGTTTGCGCTCCCTGTTCCTCCTTCCTCGTTCCCTGCCGCCACATCCTCGCTATGGATTCTGTAAGACTTCCCCCTCGTTTGGATCCGAGTCTCGGACACAGTCACCACCACAAGCTTTGGGCCGAGCATCCGGCCCGTAGAATAGTTTGCCATTTTTGCCCCCCCCCCCTCGCACACCCGTCTTCCCTTCAATGGACCCAGTTCCCAACAGTTGACATGGATGGAATGGCCGACAGTTGTTTACAATCCACGGCTTGGATGATACTATTTGGGGCATCTTTCTTCCTCCCTTTTCCGACGGCGGGATAAGAGTTTCTTCATCTGGAAGATGAGGCACTGCAACAATTCTACGTGTTGGTTTCACTTGAAATCCCGGAGATATCCGTTTCGTGATGGCAGAATATAAGTTGTTTTGGGAGATCACACTTTGAGCATTCTCAGAGCTTGCTTGAGTTCTTTTTATTTATTCATTCCCGTATTTACAGATGAACTGCATCTGTTTGTGAGCTCCCTCAGGCTCTAACGTAGGCCCGATCGGCCTCACAGGGAGTCTCTTATAGGAAGCTACATCAGAAGTCTGATAACCCCAAACTTTTATATTTGATATCCTTTCGGGCCAGAGAGAAACGAACCACAAGTTCCGTATTGTTGTGGCATGGCGGCAGAGCACGGCGAGCTACTGGCTGAGATGGCCACAGTCGGGCGTCTGAGTGCCACCGAGCGCCTGAAGCACGCCCAGAAGCGGCGTGCCCAGCAGCTGAAGGGATGGGCGCAGATGGAGAAGGACGGAGTGCGAGGGTCGAGGGCCAAGGCGGATAAGAAGAAGGCGCGCACCACCAAAGTCACTTTCCCCCAGTCCATCACGCTGCTGGATGCGACTGCACGCAATGACCTGGAGGAGGGTGAGTAGAAGCAGGCACACAAACTCTCCCACCAATACAAGTGATTCAGAGCAGTGAACAGTGATACCAGGTAGACCCGACTATGACCTCCACACTGGGCTCCTTCGGTGCTGTTGGCCTCACCTCACGTGAAGCGCATGGCTGCCAATGGGCATTGTTCTCTATAAAATGCAATTCAAAGGAAGGGAATCATGCATCCTTCTTTCTAGGCAGCTCACATTTTTAGTTACGTTCTAGTCGTAATCTGAGAGGCATTTGGGCGATGCGATAATTCCCATGCAGGTCGAGGGCAAATTACAGTGGCACGGTTTCCAAGTCCATTGTTAGCACATTTCTGATTACTGTGCAACGCAATATAACGTTTATGTGGAGAGGACTGTGGTCAGGTGGTTATTCACAATGGTGTGTGTGTGTGTGTGTGTGTGTGTGTGTCTAGTGAGGGAGCTTCTTAACAGCGGTGTCAGCCCAGATTTGGTCAACGAGGATGGACTGACAGCCCTGCATCAGGTACATAAATGCACGCACACACAAAGAGCCAGTGACTACTACAAGACCCCCCCCCGCCCTCCTCTTCCCCTGCAAACACGACAACAGACATCTACACGACGTGTGTATGTGTGTTGAAGTTGTGTGCGGTCACAGCTCCGGGCTCACTGAGTACTGTTTGCCTTTATTTTGTCTGAACTCTTAACTTATCTTGGGGCAGCCGTTTTGAGGAGCGAGGGCAGCTTGCTCCGGCTCGCATTCCTTCCCTGAACATTGACTCAGAACTGATTATTTTAAAAAGACCTTGAAGTACACAAATCTAAAGCTACAAAGAAAACCTTCACAGTTTGGTTGGGCATTTCTCTCCCTTCCCATTTTGCTCTGTGTTGTTTACGTCTCTTTTTTGAGAATTTTGAGAAGAATTTAAAATGCTACCACAAATTCACGCGAGGGATATGTGTGCGCACAGAAGACTCTTCATAAAAGTAGTTGACTCTGCTCCGCTTGGAAAACTTGTGGAGTGTGTACACAGCAGAGGTCTGTGCCAAGCATGCAAATCCTTTTTTATTACTCAAACCGCTGTATTAGCAGCCATAAAAACAAAGCATTGAGAAATCCATTTCTTTTGTTGGCGTGTAGCACTTGTTTCCTGCCGTTTTCTGTGGCTGTTTTGTACTGTCTGCGCATATGTACATCATATTTACATCTCCCTCTCTTTGCAGTGCTGCATAGATGATTTTGTGGAGACAGTGCAGTGCCTGCTGGATGCCGGTGCCTGCGTGAACGCCTGTGACAGCGAGCTGTGGACTCCGCTGCACGCTGCCGCCACCTGTGGACACACTGGATTGGTGCAACTCCTGATTCAGGCGTGAGTCCCCACATGAACTTCAGCCCCGCATTCACACAGCCTTTTATACGGTAGAGTGTTTTTACAGCTTAAAGGACCATTCCAAAAAACGTTTTTTATATAAACTAAACAAATGTGTGAATGCAGGATGGATATTTTCTTTCTGGACCAAACGGACTGAGAGCTTTCTCAGCGGAAGACTAGTTTACATAAACAATGCAAATACGGCTGCAGCCTGACATACAAAACACTTTGCATTCAATGAATATTCCGAGTTGCTAATCCAAGTGTGTCACAACTTGGCACTGTAATGGAATTGTCTTTATGGGTGTATTCTTGTGTGTGTGTGTGCTTCTAGTGGGGCCAACATGCTGGCTGTCAATGCGGACGGCAACATGCCCTATGACCTCTGTGAAGACGAGGCCACCCTTGAGTTGATGGAGACGGTTATGGCTGAACAGGGTCAGTGAGATGAGTCACGTCCAGCCCGTTGCTTATTTGTTGTTTATTTGGCAGGGATAATGCAAATTACATATAGTGCACCATATATGGTTTAAGCTCCTTTTCCTTCTAAGCCAACACAATACACAATTGAAAAGTTTAAAAAAATTAAAAAAAACATTGTAATATGAATAAAGAAAGGTCAATACTAAATTCCCACTTCAGCAATCCCATAAGGACAAACGGATGATTCATCAGTACTATTTAATTAGAATTGGTCCAGTTTGTTTTCCAGCATTTAGTTATTTTCATACAAAGCTGAACGCGTCTCCATTTGAAACCAGGTGCACATACTAATGACCAGTCCCAAACCAGTGTGTGTGTGTGCGCGCTGCTACTGTCGGTGTCATTGGTTCCATCCCTGTGTGTGTGTAGGGATAACTCAGGATCGTATAAATGAATGTCGTGGAGCTAAAGAGGGGAGCATGCTGGCTGACATCAAGGCCCTGGTTCAGAGCGGCGCGGACTTGAACGCACAGGACGCTAACGGAGCTACACTGGTGAGCAGAGGGACATCTGCTGTACACATAAAGAAATTAGGACGTGATAGACCAGGGATTCTCACCGTATTTTTAACCAACCAGCGTCATTATCTCGGAGGGAAAACGCAAATAGATTTTAGAAATTGTTTCCAATCAGCTAAGACGTGTGTTTAGCTTCATGTCTGAAATTTCAGCTGAAGTGCCTTCCTAACACTTGAATGACCTTGCTGAACGTCTCTCCCAGCTCCACATAGCGTCCGCTAACGGCTATGTGTCCGTGGCGGAGCTGCTGCTGGAGCACAGCGCTGCGGTGGAGGGTAAGGACTCTGACGGCTGGACGCCGCTACATGCCGCCTCCTGCTGGGGACAGGTAGGTGGCGCATGCAAAACCAACAGAGAAGAACCTTCCACCTCGTCTTGAAGGACACCGCTAACAGGGCTGTTGGTGTTTTTGGTCCACAGATCCAAATGGTAGAACTGTTGGTGGCCAATGGAGCCAGTTTAGACACAAAGTCCGTCCTGGAGGAGACGCCAATGGGTGAGACCAGATAGACAAATGAAATAAACGACAGTGCCTTTTCCTTTTTAACGATTTAATGCTAATCCACAGTCCAGCCTGTAATAAAATATGAACTGATCATCATGACTGCCACTGAATTGTAGGCTCCTTGTCAGCATCTTCCCTTCCACTCCTTCCGGGGGCCTAACCTCTGCTGCGACCGACTTTTCAGATGTGTGCATGGACGAAGACGTCAGAGCCAAACTGATGGACCTGAAGCACAAACACGACGCCATCATGAAGACCCGGGACCGGCAGAAGAGCACACTGCAAAGACGAGCCTCTAGCACCGGCAGCAGAGGGTGAGAGGGGACGCGATGCCAGAGGGAGCCCAAGGGGGAAATGAATCACCTGTTGGAGCAAATGAGCTTTACTGTTCTCTCGCTTGTCTCTACAGTAAGGTGGTGCGTCGCGTCAGTGTCAACGAGCGCTCCAGCCTGTACCGTCGGGAGCACCACAAAGAGGCCATAGTGTGGCAGGAGCGCGGCCGGCAGTCGGAGCCTCAGGACGACGACGAGGACAGACAAACGGACAACGAGCTGCACCAGCAGCACGCCGCCACGGTGAGCCGGATCAGCGGGCACACTGATGGAAACGTACCTTGTTATCAAAGTCTGCCGTGAGTTCTTTTATATTCTCTTGCATTTTTGTTTTTCTTTCCAGGGTGCCGGTGGTGCCGCCGCTTCGGGCTTGGCGGAATTGGAGGCTGCCGACAGGAAAATAGGATCGAGCGTAGGCAACGGGGGGACCTCGATGTCCCTCTCCTCCTCGGTACCTGGAGAGCTGCTGAGCGGCGGGGGGCTCATGGAGCGCAGCGCCTCCTACCAGCTCAGCCCCGCGTCCGGAGCCGGGTCGGGGTCCACGGTAGGAGACGGGGCGGACAGTATGACTCGGGAGAGATCGCACCAGACACTGGCCGACCTGAAACGCCAGCGGGCGGCCGCCAAGCTCAATAAGTACCCGGCGCCTCCGCCGCCGCTTCCTCCCGCCTTGGAGGAGGAGCCCCCCGGAGCAGCGGTCGAGGTGGCGGACGCTCCGGCACGGGCGGAGCTCCAAGCGACCCCCGGCGCGCGGGAGGCGACCCCCGGCGCGCGGGAGGCGGCCCCCGTGAGCCAGGTGTACTTCACCCCAGCCAGCGGAGACCCTCCGCTGCTGAAACTTCGAGCCCCCGAGGAGGAACAGTCTAACAATAAAGAGCCCTGCTGTGGACTCATGTAGACAGTCTGACAGTCTGCAGAGTAGAGAAGATGTGCATTTTGCGGCGCAAAGTGACAAAAACCTGTTTGAAATCAATGAGACTGCAAGTTTAGGCCACATGCCAACGAGGGTTCCGCCTAAGCTGCATTTCAGAGAACTGATGATGTTGGGTGTCTATCAAGTGTGCCCAAGTGGAGAACCACAGGTTCCGGTTTTGCAATAACAAGCAAATATTTGCTTTGCTTGGTTTTGGTATCACTATTTAATCCCATAGTGCACTGCTCAACTACTGTAGATCGACATTTCAATGAAAAGCCTTAATCGGGGGCCGAAGTTGAAAAGCCGTTCAGGATTATGTGTTTTACATTAAGAATGAGATTCTTTACCAAGTGCTATGAGGGTATGTGATACATTTACATTTTAAGCCACCAGTTAGTCGCGGTTGAGAGATTGTTTGGTCATGATAGCTTCAAAGTATGATATACTATATTTACGTTGAGAGAAAGATGAAAACACTGTTCCTTGCTTGATTTCTTCTTCTTTTTTTGAGGGGGCTGAACATATGCTGAGACTTCTTTTTTTTGATTACTTTTCCATTGCACAGAAAAGCCTACATTTCAACATTTGATACCGTGCAATTTGTAAATCAACTGTTTGTCACTAAAATAATGTGATTATCTGTGTATTTAAAGCAGTGGAAAATTGACTCAGCCCCTCATCATTATTATTATTATTATTTCTAGATTTCTATTTTTTGTCAGTATTTCTATTTTTCTACTCTCAATGGAATCACATTATTTATTCTATCTAATACTGAATAGTGCTGGTGGTGTACAGTGTACATTTTTTGTAAAGATAAATGTGTAATGTACTTGTCATATAATTATTTTTTTTTGTCAAAGATTGGTGCCTTGTTTAGGTGGCAAATTTGATATATAGGGTTGCAATGCTTGCACAACGTCCCACGTGTAAATTTGGTGAGCAGTGGGATAAAAGGATATATTTCTCCAACTTGATGTGCTGTCAGTGCACGCTAAATTCTATATTACAATTCAGTTTTGTTAGTGATTTTTACTGAGCCCTATCTAAAAAATATATATATTAAAATGATTCTCAAATAATCTCAGTATTTTCCTTTATTTTACAGTGTATTTCTTAAATAGAGTTAAGCATTACGTCACGGGTATCTTTAAACGCACGGAATCATTTTTTTTAATTAAAAAAAAAAATTGGGGGGGTGAGACATTATTCAGATCGAATAATGGACTCCTGTTTGGAAAAAGCCAATCGCCCCAGACAACGACGGTGTCTCCCACTTGGGGTGAGCAGTTGCACATTAAAAACACTACGTTACAACACTCCCTCCCTCCCCCAGGCGCACATTAAGCACGCGGGGACTTCCACGTCGTGTGTGCGTGGCCGATGACAGCTGTGCGTGGATGTCCCGACATGAATAGAAGCCCAGAGAGAGGGGGAAAGGTTTCCTTTCATGCGATCTGTCTTTAAACAAAATGAAATGCTTAAAGACAAATTTACGTGGAGTGTCGCGTGACGCTTCCAAAAATACGCAGGCCTCGACCCAAGGTCACCGGAACATCACATGCGTGAATGTGAACCGTTTTGGGATTCAGATATCAAGTGTCTTGCCCGAGTCCCGTTCCAAGGGGGCGGGGGGCGCTCTTCCACTTTTTTTTCTTCTCACACACAGGCAGCTCATTATGTGGCTCACTTTCTCTCGTCATAAAAAAAAGACATTCAGATGAAGAGCTTTTGCGTAACTGCATCTACAAATAATCCATCCAATAATTCCCTTCACCGTTCCCAGATTCCCTGACTTCCTTCCAAAACTGTTTCGCATTTCTGTTTATTTGGGTGTGAGCTACAGTTGAGTATATTTTTTATGTGTAAGCTAATTGCTATAAACATTGTATCAAAAATTAAGAAAAATAGCTTCGATTTTGGAAACGTGCGGGTCTTGTGATAGAAATCCCCTTGTTCGCGCGGGTCACACGGTGGATTAAAGGAGCTCTGACAAAAAAAGCTCCCTCGTGGTTTCTTGCGACACCTTGTCGGTTTTGTAAAATGTCACAGATCTCGGAACGTGAAGTGGTCTTGTTTGTACAAGTCGGCCACTGTTTGCGTGAATAACAACAACAACAGCAACATGGGGAGTTAAAGTGTTGAACGCGGGAGTGGTTTTATATTGTTGTATTGGTACTTTTGTAACCACTGCCAAGCAACTTCTTAAACATCCAAAGCACACACTCCAAAAATTTTAAACTTGCTTTGATGCCTTGTTTCTCTTTACTCCAATCAAGTGTGCCAGTCGTTATTCTTAAAAAGTTATCTAGAGGTAAAAATAACAAAACCAAAACGAGTCGGTCCCATCGACGTTTTTATTTTTCTCCGACGACACGTAAACGCATCACGCCAAGTCAGTCAAGACACCGCAGCCAACCAGGGCGAAGGGGGGCGTGGCGCCCGGCTGAAGGCGTGAGCGCGAGGCGAGCGCCCCTCCGCTCACTGACAGTAGAAGCGCGAGCGGGTTCGGTTCGCTCAAGTCTTTCCTTTTCCCGTTCAAGTCGGCCCAGACGGAGCGACGTAACGAGGATGTCACAGCACGCGGCGAACGGGCTGCCGGGCCGGGTGAAGCTGCTCAATGTGGACAACATGAACCCCAACGTGAAGCGGGTGGAGTACGCGGTGCGCGGGGCCATAGTCCAACGGGCTGTGCAGATAGAGAAGGAGCTCAAAGAGGTAAAGCAAAGTTGGAAATAAAGTTATAAAAAGCTGTTTTTTTTAATGGATTTAATGTTAGCTCACATGACAGAGGTGTTCCTACACATGCTTTAATGCGCCTGCTGGGGTTATTGTCTGTATTCACAAAGCTAGACGTTGATATAGACACCTCCAAAAAATTTTTTTTTAAAGAAATTAGCTTTCTTTTTAAACTTAAAAAAACAAACCCTGCAGTTGCTATTTACACGTAACAGTCGAAAGGGATCAAAACATGTTATTTAACTGCACTGATTCCTCCACATGATCAATAATGCTTGCCCTGCACGCTTCTTGCTGACTGGCTTCAGGACTGACCACACAGTTCCACTTTAAAAAAAAGTTTCTACGTGTCAGCATTGCTGTTATGTACTCCAACTGTATTACATTTCATATAAAAGGTTACGCAAGTCTTTGAAGTGGAGCGTAACGCGATCCTCTCTGCAGTTATGTACAATCTCCTCACGGGACGTCCCTACATGCCTCCCGGAGTTTGACTAATGCCACGGCCTGAGGTGACCTGGCAGGACGTGTAGATGGTAAAGGCTCATTATGTAAGACGAGAGGGTACATTCTCTATGCTCTTTTGTGTATCTGGCTTTCCCACCTCCCTCCTCCTCCTCCTCCTCCTCCTCCTCACCCTGGGGGAGAGAGTCCATTTGACGAAGCTCCAGCTGTGAGGCCCCAACAGCGTCACCAACCTTTTCTCTGCGATGAGGTCCATTTGACAAGCGGCCCGAGTTCCACGGGAAAGTTCTCGGGTTCTTGGTAATCCACTGGTTTTTCACTCCTCTTGTAAAAGGACCCCCCCCCCCCCCCCCACACTCCTACTCCCCCGTGACCCTCCCAAAAACAAAGGTATTTGCCAGGAGTAACTGGAATCGTTTGCTGCAGCGCCATAAAGTGTTTCCCTACGCAGGTTTATTTCAGACCGGTCCAATTCAAAGTCCAGGGGGGTTATAGAAGTTCAAACACGCACATATGAGTTTAGACAAAAACTGTGAAACAATCAGAAATCTAAAATACAATATTCTTCAGAGCGGTCAAGAGGGTTTATTGTAGCTATCTTTGGGTCTGCTTCCTGTCAGATCCATTACTGGAGCACTTTTAGTGATTGCTCAGCAGATTTTGTGTGTGTGTGCGTGTGCGTGTGCGTGTGTGTGCGTGTGTGTGTGTGTGTGTGTGTGTGTGTGTGTGTGTGTGTGCGCCTGCGCCTGCACTGCTGTGAGGATTTTTGAGGACACTTACAAATCGTCAGCCAGACATCTGGCTTTTTTAGGCCTGAATCGAAGGTCCAAAGAAAGAACAGGGAAATAACCAGGTCTTATTCAGCTATGAGTTTGTTGCATCACAGAAAATGTCACATCCACCACTTCTATCAGTAAGTAGGATGTAAATTTAGGTCGGTAAGGCTCCATTCCAGCCGGTCGGCCTAAAGGGTTCCTCGGCCCGGCTCGCGGGTGTAATCAGTGCCTGGCGCTGAGCCCCCTCACCCCTCACTAGAGAACAGCGGCCTCTTTGTTGCTGGAGAACAAGACGGGGAGTGAAACAGGGAACGTGCCGCATCCTCTTACCTAGATTTCAATCAGACTTCTACCCCATTTAACGTGCAGCCAAAGAATCTTGCAGGCCCTGTTCTTTCATGCTTGAGGTCACGTTACTGATAACGTGGACTCAATCGAAAGGGCAAACCTCTCCCTGTGCCCTTGGAGACCTTTCCCCTGGTATTTGTGTAAGCAACATTTTATCGCATGGTAGTTTGCTGTCACAACCTCCTCCGGTTAGTGAACGGCGGAGCCGTAATAAAGTGTACTTCGTTCTTATGTTCAGTGCTTTGCAGAAGGTATGAGCCCAAATGTCGGTTCCCATCCCGATAAACAGCCGCAGCAAACGGCCTCCCCTTCAATAAAATACAGATGCCCGCTAAATACAGATTCCAAATGTTATTAAATCACTCTTACGGTTTGGAAGAGGAGAGAAATTGAATGAAATAGACTCGAATATCTCAAACGATTAGATTAAGCCAGCGCAAAGACCCCAATTAACCCCTGTGTCTCGGGAAGACGTCGGCCTGTGATGGACAATTTGAAGCTCTTTCCGTTTATTTTTCCCAGTTTCTCGTGTGCACTAAATACTCCCTGTGAGGTTACAGCAGCACAGGGACGTTTCTCTAATCTTCTCTCATAAAGGCTTCTAGCAGGAAACAAGTTGGTTTCTTTTGCACACAAGACGGCCCTTTGTCGCCGCGTACGTGCATCTCCTGATTCCTTTCTGCTGCCGTGGATCTGTTGAGTGATTTAATATTCTGAGCTGCTTCTTTCTAGATGTCTGAAGAATGTCCCAAGTCCTGCAGCCAGTATCAATAAATCACATTGGCAGTATGAGGTTATTATTGTTATGACGCTTGTATTGTGAACCGGCTGTTCCAAAATAATTAAAAAAAGAATTTTCTCCCTACTTTGCTCAAATGTCCCAACTGCACGGTTGAGTGGAGACACGCAAGAAGTTTCCAATGTATCCCAACTAACGTGCCTCCTTCCCATCGCTCCTTGTTACGTTCTCACAAACGCGTCCTGTTCGTCAAGGAGCTGTCGCGACACGTAGAAGAATCCCCGCGCTCTCGCTGCCTCGCTGCGCCGTCCGGTCTTGTTCTGTGGTGCATAATCTGTCGCCTCGGTTCTGTCTTCATCTCCCAAAGGGAGTCAAGAAACCTTTCGATGAGGTCATCAAGGCTAACATAGGCGACGCCCACGCCATGGGCCAGAAGCCGATCACATTTCTCAGACAGGTAGGAAAACTCACAAAGGCGGGGCTCATAGAGCCGGTTTTGCACATTTCATACAGCGTGGCCGTGAGACGCGTGTCCTCCTCTCTCAGGTCTTGGCCCTGTGCGCTTACCCCGAGCTCTTGGAGGACGACAAGTTCCCGGCGGACGCCAAGCAGAGAGCGCGGCGTATCCTCGAGGCCTGCGGAGGCCACAGTATAGGTCAGACGACTCCCGCCTCCTCCACCACATCCACACATCCGTCAGCTCGATAGCGATCTGTTTGGACAGTCCGAACAATATTTAAACAGAGGAGGATCGATTGTGGCGCCTTTTTTTTGTCTTTATTTCAAAGTTCATGTTTTCACGTGTCCCAAGGGGCGTACAGCTCGAGCCAGGGCATCGACTGCATCCGGCAGGACGTGGCGCGCTACATCGAGAAGAGGGACGGCGGAATCCCCTCCAACCCCGACAACATCTACCTCGCCACCGGAGCCAGCGACGCCATCGTGGTACGGGTTCCACTCTGCTGTCGTCTCTGCTCCGCGGCGCCGACACCCTGCAGGCTTTCGATTTGTTCTTTTTATTCACCTCGCTAATTATATACTCCACTGTACTTTGCCCATCGCGAACTGCGCTGCACCCATATATCGTAGTCACCGTCAGAACGCCATTGGATTCGGGTTTGTGAAACTGAAACAGGTGTGTTTGAGTGAGCAAAATGGGATCCTGGAAACGCCTACAACAACAGGAACTAACACGGAAGTGGTCTGGTGTACTTTGACAGGTGTTTGTACGCCTGGGGCTCAATTTAACAGAGATACAAAACACATTGAGGGCACAGCGAACATGGGTGTGGTTCAAGCAAGGGCCCCTGACAGGGGGGCCACAACTCCACACAGTAAACCCTGGATATTCTATGAATGAATATGTTCTATTACTGGTTCATTCGGTCCCTCTCCTCCCTACGAATCCTAATCCCAGACCATGCTGAAGATGCTGGTGTGCGGCGAGGGCCGGGACCGCACAGGAGTAATGATCTCCATCCCTCAGTACCCGCTGTACTCGGCGGCACTGGCCGACCTGGCCGCCGTGCAGATCAGCTACTACCTGGACGAGGACAAGTGCTGGAGTCTGGACGTGGCGGAGCTCAAGAGGGCCGTCGACGCGGCCAGGCAGCACTGCAATCCGCGCGTCCTCTGCATCATCAACCCAGGAAACCCCACCGGTACGTCCGCCGATGGGGCTTTCTGTGCGTCAGTCGCTGCTATTTGTATTTGTACTTGTGTGTGTGTGTGTGTGTGTATATATGCGTGAACAAACTCTGGTTGTCTGACAGGTCAGGTCCAGAGCAGACAGTGCATTGAAGATGTGATCCGATTCGCTAAAGACGAGCGTCTCTTCCTCATGGCTGATGAAGTAATTCACCACAACACTTCTTTAATTCTTCTTTAATAATTTTTTACTCCCCTGCGGTTCGTTCAGGGTAACCGAACAACATTTTGTGGTTAAATTTCATTCACACCACTATTGATGCCGCCAGCTGCTTTACTGTTGTTCCTTAAAGCACCACCATGACCTATGACCTCATCCATTTAGGTAGAAAGACCATCATGTATGTATTTGTCATCCTTAACAACAGATTTTAACATTTAGTAAAAATCAATCTGACTTAATGAAATTGGTGACTTGCTTGCTTAATCCATAACATGCAATGAATTTAGATCCAGTATTTACTGTAGTTTTCTATGAGCTCATTATCCGGTCGTGGCGTCAGTGATCCTCTTTCAGCCTTTGGAGATGTGCTGCACATTTCAGTATGAACGTGGTGTTTTTCCTCCCTTGCAGGTCTACCAGGACAACGTGTATGCAGAGGGCTGTAAGTTTCACTCCTTCAAAAGGGTGTTGTTTGAGATGGGACCAGAGTACTCCACCGCAGTGGAGATGGCCTCCTTCCACTCCACCTCCAAATGCTACATGGGAGAGTGAGTAGCTAGACGCGTGTTTGACACTTTATTATTAGTAATAATACTTGTAGTTATCACCTCCTACAAACCAATACTTTTGTCAGGTGTGGATTCCGTGGGGGCTACATGGAGGTGATCAACATGGACCCCGAGGTGAAGGCTCAACTCACCAAGTTGGTGTCGGTGCGCCTGTGCCCTCCGGTTCCTGGACAAGCTCTCCTGGACCTGGTGGTGAACCCCCCGCAGCCCGACGAGCCCTCCTACCACCAGTTCACGAAGGTCTGAGGAACACCTCACACACACACACATCTGACCCCTTAAGCACCGCAGCATGTCCTCTGTGCTCAGAGAGCCTGTATTGAGTGCTGCAGATGCAAGTTTCATGACATATTATACCATTGTTTTCTGAACACTGTTACTAAACTATTATAATTTGAAACATACTCTACTGCGACTTTTTTAATATAACCTACAATTACGGCTGTAATATACAGCACCACATTGAAGCGGATATAATTAGTAAATATTAGTAATTATTTTCAGGATAGATTTATTAAGGCATTGATATTTATGCACCATCATTTCTCTCTCGCTTCTCCTTCAGGAGCGGGCGACAGTTTTGGCAACTTTAGCAGAGAAGGCTCGGCTGACGGAGCAAATCTTCAACACAGTACCTGGAATCACCTGTAACCCCGTGCAGGGGGCCATGTACACCTTCCCCCGGATCGCTCTACCGCAGAAGGCCATCGATAAGGCAACGGTCTGCTCTGCACACTCACCATACGTCACTAATGAGCCTCGTTCTTGTCTGTGTGGACGTCTTAAAACGCATGTGTGTGTGTCCATGTCTAGGAGGAAGGCCTCTCCCCGGACATGTTGTATTGCATGAGGCTGCTGGAGGAGGAGGGCATCTGCCTGGTGCCAGGTAGTGGCTTTGGTCAGAGAGAGGGAACCTTCCACTTCAGGTTCGTACCATCTACTCCCCTTAAATCAATGATGGAAAATAGGGAACCTACTGCAAGCAGTGTGACTACTTATTGTGGCTTTTTCTGTGCTGATCTTCAAAAAGGTATATTTTTTTGGACTGCTTCCACTGCATAAGTGCACGGTTGTGATTGGCTACACATCCTTTGTTTCCAGGATGACCATCCTTCCTCCCACTGAGAAGCTGAAGATTGTGCTGCAAAAGATCCGGGAATTCCACGTGCGCTTTACACAAGAGTTCTCATAACCATCGTTTGGGGAACCACCTGATGCGTACCAGTATATTCAAGTGCCTTTGATACGAAAGCAATAAGTCTTAATGTCACCTACAGCTGTATTCATCCAAGATCAGATTTTTACAGCTTTGCATTAGTGAAGACTGCCATTGAAAAATGTGATGTTCATGTGTAGGTACAGATGCATTTGCACTTAAAGTTGCCCGGCCAGATTTAATGCACAAGTGTAAGTAGTATTGTATGATCAGGTCGTCACTTCAGCCTGTTTAGTGATTACTGAGGTCTGCTGGGGCAAATCAAGAATAGAAGGCCTGTATGATATCTGTAAAACTAATATTTACATTGTGATTAAACAGATTTGTAAAAGACTTTCTGAAAATTGGTTATTAGTGACAAGGTGCTCTGGCCCATCATTTTTGGTTTTATTGAAAAAAAAGAAAAACTGGAATCTTCCAATAGTTCTTACATGCTTTTAGATACAGAAGAACGCTGGATCTTTTAGCACAAACAAACTTAAAGGATGATTGGTCATTGCAATTATAACAGCAACTCAGTGACCTCCCACCTCACATTTAATAGTTCATAGAGAGACATTTTCAAAGTTCCTCTCTCTTCTGCGACAGCTTCGTGCTGTGCTTTTCCAAGAACTTGCTGAAGCCCTCGACTGTTCTGTCTCCACCTTCAAATTTGATGGGGTTCTGCTTGTTGTTGCTCGGCGCCAAGTATATCGTAGGGAAGCCTTCAGTCGCGTAGTGCTCGTTGGGCACGTCGTTGGCGGTGGCGTCCATCTTGGCGATCACCAGGTTCTTCTCCCCCTTGTACTTCTTGCCCAGAGCCAAATAGTCGGGCTCCAGTTTCTTACAGTGGCCACACCAGGGAGCATAAAACTCAATGAGGACGTCCTTCTCTTTATCCATGACGATGTCGTCAAAGGTCTTTCCCACCACAACCTTCACGGGCCCTTTGTTGTTCTTTGGCACCGGCGCAGACTTTATGATGGGTTTGAGCTTTCCTATGAACACGACAGAAATTCAAAATGTTGAGGGCCAGTAACATGAGTGTGACCCAATAATAAAATTAAGCATATAAGCAAAAAATATTCAAAACAACAAAAAAAAAGACCTTTTTTGAAAGCCTTAACAAATTCTCTCAGCACGTCGGCATCAAACTCCTCCGGCTCCATCGCAAACTTTTTGCCTCCTTCCGCCAGGATTCCCACATTAACGTCCTCGCCGCTGTCACTCAGGCCGAGGCCCTTCAGCTCGTCGGCGTAATCCTCCTCATCGCCAATCGCAAATGTGTATTCTGGGAAATCCTTTGCCACCTCGAGCACCTTGGACCTCCAGAACTGTGTAGCTAAAATGGAATAGAGAAATATTACTATAGTTTACTGAAAAAAGTATTATGTCTAACTTTTTCTTCAAAGTCAGCCAGCAAACTATGTCAGCGTACAGTTGGTTCAAATATTGAGTCTTAGTAGTTATAAAGTTCATCGGGTGGAATGTGAAAAGAATAGTATAGCATGTTGAAAAATGGTCAAAACACCACAGATCAAAAAAAGTCATTAAGCAATATTGACCGTTAAGAGGTGCAAAAAGTGAGTATAGTATTTAAGATTGAGTAATGTAGAGGAAAATGTCACATGAAGGCAAAGCAGTTTGTCAAACAAGTCCTATTATAGCATGTCAGAAATATAAGTACAGTATTTAAAAAAAGGCCAAAGTCATAATATAGTACGCCAATATAAAATGGCTGGAAAAAGCAATAGAAAAGTCCCGGTATGTTGTAAAGGCAATTAAGTAGTCATAGTATAGCATGTTATAAAACTACTTGTGTAGCATGTTGAAACAGTCTTTTATAGTAGTTTTCCATCGTAATTAATGTGATGAAAAAGGTAAGGAGTCATGTATGTTAAAATTAAATAATGTCTAAGAATAACAATGGTCCAAAGAAATTCACACATGCAAAGACAGTATTTCAAAAATGCCATAAAAGGTTCTAGCAATTCATAAAAATGTCATAATGCAGTCATACAAACTTAATGGACAAATAACCATAACGAAAACAAGCCCCGAGATGTAATAATTTTTTCTCACAGATTCCCCATTTTGCTGCATTAAGTAAAACATTTCCCCCCTTTAGATGTCAGACCTTTCTTGTAGTCAAAGCTGAAGTCCACTCCATAGTACACAACCACCAGGGGGCGCTTGGAGTAGCGCTTGGCATCATTGCTCGGTTTCCTGTGGCCCACCAGAGGAATTGCATGTTTCTTGAAGAACTCCTGCACTTCTGACACCAGCGTAGAGTCCTATGAGACAAAAGTCAGTGAATACCTCAAGACTTCAATAAGTAAAGTAAATTGAGTGTTATACACTACACACATGCACTGGATAAAACAATTAAAGATCCTGGAAAGTACCTTTACTTTAAGGATGTGAGACGCTGGCTCGTACTTTGAGGCGAACCGTTCGGGCTGAACCAAGACGATCTGACCCGGCGACGCTTTGAGCAGTTTGGCCACCTCGGAGCTGAAGGTGTGAAGGAAGGTGAAGTCTTCCCTCAGCGTATTAGCTGCCAAAAAAAAGAAGGCAAAGAAAGAAAAACAAACAAACAGCGGTCACGCGCACGCACGGTAAACATTAACTTCGCCACGTTGAACACACCACTCGGGCTACTTACAGGCTTCCGTGTAGAGCGCGTAGGCTGTGTCCTCGTCGCTGGAGAACACGCCGACTATGACGGCGTCGTCGCCGTCCTTGATGAGCTCCTGCACTTGTTTCACCGCCTGCACCTGCTTGGAGGGAGGGCCTGCCTGCGCGACCATGTAGTCAACGATGCCTAGAGGGGGAGAGAGAGGATGAAAAGTGATGAACAGAAATAACAAGTATGGATTCATTCATATAAAAAAAAGGTAGGTCAGGTAGTGTTGGCCCACCGCGGTGCTCTCTGGGGCCATTGTACTCAAACGCTTTGCCCTTCCTGAAGATCTTTATGGAGGGAAAGCCCGTAACTTCAAAACGGGAGGCGAGCTCGTTCTCCACGGTGCCGTCCACCTTGGCCAGCGGAATTGGAGGAGAGCGCAGGCTCAACTCCTTGGCTGCCTTCTCGTACTCCGGAGCCAAACTCTTACAGTGTCCGCACCTGAGGAAGGGGATTCAGAACAGCAAAATCATTGACCGGGGTTTTATTCTGAAGTCCCTTTTCTTGCCCAAAGGAACTGCCATTAACAGTGCAAACACTAGTTCATACAGCTCCTTACTGACCACGGAGCGTAGAACTCCACCAGGATGATGTCCGCGTCGTTGACAGTCTCGTCAAAGTTGTCCTTGGTGAGCACCAGCGTTGCCTCAGGAGGGGGCTTCCAATCTGGGCGGGCCACCTCTTTCACTCGTTCCACAATAGCTGTAGAAAAATATAATTTTTTAAAGCATGCAGCATAAAGACGCCAATTAATTTCCCCCATAAAAAGGGGTCCGGTTTGGTTTAAAAGGGTTGCGATGACGAGTCATAGGCATCCCTACCCTTCTCTGTCCTCGGGCCGTCGTAGTCCACGGGCTGCCCGTTTTTAATGATCTTTATGGTGGGGTACCCAGTCACTTCAAACCTGCCCGCTATCTCCTTGGCTACCGTGGCATCCACCTTGGCAACAGGTATGGGCGGGTCATTCTCCTTTAGAGTCTGGGCGATTTTCTCGTACTCCGGGGCAAACTGTTTACAGTGGCCACACCTGAAAAGGATACGGGAAGAACAAAATATATATTACACATTTGGAAAAGTTAGCAGAGATGTGGGAAGTAAGTGAACATCCCAGAGGACGGATGGACTCACCACGGGGCATAAAACTCCACCAGCACCGTGTCTTTGCCTTCCATGAAAGGGTCGTAGTTGCTGTTGGTCAAGATCAGCACCCCATTCTCTTCTTTCACCTCCGTGCTTCCTTCATCTCCCTGCCCCTCTTCCTCCTCATACTCATCGTCACTGTCTTCTTCCTCAGCATCCTTCTCCTCCTCTGCAACATCTGACGAGAATGGACAGGAAACGAGTTCACGCGCAGAGATAGTTTGAGTTTGAGTTTGAACGGAACACGTAGCAAAAGACGGAGGAATGTCTCCGGCTCGTCAGGTTCGCGGGATATTAGCGCACGTGGAGGTTCTGATGACGTTACGTGTTAGCTCACCTGTGCCGTTAGCTTGGATGCTAACAGCGCCGGCAGATTAGCCAATCAGTAAGTTAGCTTAGTTCGCGTGACGATATCGAGCAAGAAACACACAGAAAACCGCGGCGTCGTTGTACGTGTATAACACGTCGGGTTCTATTTACATGTGAGGTTGTAAACAAAACAAAAAAAATGAACAAAAACTTTCCCAACGTACCTTCTTCACATCGGCTGAGAGTTGCAAAATGTGCAACGCCGAGCAGCAGCAGCAGCAGAGCGACCTTCTTCTTCATTGTCCTGATGTGACGCGGCCCGTTAACGACCAAGCGCTTCTCGCGGGTATGCGGCTAAATACGTGAGCGAACACCGCTGATGAATATCATCAAAGCTCCGTCGGCTTAACGGACCCGCTGTCCGGATCAATACTGTCCTGTGTGGCTGTGGAAGGCAGCGGCTTTGCGGTTTCATACAAACTAATCACTGCCGGAAGCAGTTCGCCGCACCGCCCCCGTCTGCCGCTTGTCTGAGTTGCCACGCTGTGATTGGAGGACCGCCCGAGGAGGAGGACCAATCAGGATTCGCCACTCAACTGCACGTTGGGAGAATGCTATTGGATGCGCGTATCGATCGTTTGCCTGGGAGCGTCCTGGAACGCGTCCGTGCGGACACGGGGGGTGAAGACGCTACAGCTTTATGACGTGTGCTAGATTGAATGACAGTTTGAGGGAAGCTGAGAGAAACAACACATTTTCACCTCGTAGGACGCACAAACAATGAATACTCGTCACAATCCAGTCTGCAAAGCCTGAGGGTTAAGATTTGAGATGTTTTGATAATAAATTTGTCCATACCTGAAGGTATATCATTAAACTATTACTATTATAAAGATAAAATAAAAGGAGATCTTGATTTAGGAGACAATATATATGCAACTCATATATGCATTTAAGAAAATAACTTATGAATTGACAAGTTACTCAGTTAAAGGATCTGTTTATTTGGTGTACAACTCAATGATAACCTGATATCTGTCAGCTCTTATGATGGACAAAACATTCAACTACACAAGTTATGAACAACTAGTGATGCCATTTTTGCAACAAAGATTATTTTTCAAATTGGTTGAGGTAATATTGGGCAATTCAAAGGGGGTGAATAACAAAGATTGGCACACAGTAAAATACAATAAATCTTAATATAATAATACACATATTATATATAAGAAATATATACTTCTATATATTGCTTGCTGTGCCCCACCCACAGCTGTTATCTCAATAAGAACCCTCCTGTTGACCTGGCTCTACACTCCTAGGCTCCTGGTGGACTAGAACCTCTACCATCAACTCTACACATGTGGCCTGAGTTTTTATCAAGCAGCTACTGTCATTTGTTTTGGTCCTTTTGTTAACTTGCTTCTCCGGAACATCTTTTGTCCAAGCGCTGACCCGTGATGTTGAGTGGTAGTTCTGTGCTTTCACATTTCGGCCTTTTGTGTTTTCTTTGGCGACGGTTTCAGATCGCAGTGACGCTTGCCATTGCACAGCATCGTCTGATGAGGAGTCGTCCCCCCTCTGACCTCTCTGCAGGATATCCGGTTCAAGCCTGGACCTGGTAAAGAGATGTCACACAGGAAAGACATCAGCCATCTTCTTTCTTTTTTAACAATTTACATATTTCCAGTTGACTGTGATTTATGATACTCAAATGTTGCGTAATAAAAGTAGACGATTGATGTTATTACCTGAGCAGGTGAGGTGAGGCTGCTATCTCTCCATGGCCACTGACAGTTCTGTTACCACTCGGATGCGCCTGTTTAAAATAATGTATTGTATGTGAGAGCAACTCTGTACAGCATGCAGGCACTGCATGCGTGCGTGTCATTTTTTCATGATCTCTGTGTCTGGCTTACCTGTGTGTCCATGTTGGAGGGTCCCTGTGGGACGACGGGACTGTCCTCCTCCCTGTGGTGATGGGCTTTAGGGGGCAGAGTGCGGTGCAGACTGTCTGAGAAGGCATCCAGTCTGAACAGTAGTTCATCTACTAAGCTTTCAAACTCTTCAAAGTAATATGTCTGAAAAACCAGAGGGCGTGGTTAATGTAAACCCCACAAATATGAGCAGGTGGTGCAATATGTAATATTTAAGGTAGGATAAGAGGCTACAGGACTTATAGGAAAAATGTTCCTAACTTAAAGATTATACACAGATGAAGCATATTCTCAATAAAAGTAACTCTGTTTCATTGTTAACTTGACACTATTTTCAATCTTTTCCTCCACCTTCCCGTCCACAGGATTTTCATGCCACGCTCGTCTACGCTTCCCAATGAGCTCAAAGAGCGCGCGTCCGATGTAGTCGGCTAATTCCGCTACGGTGAAGACGTTCCCCCGGTTCTTCGATCTTTTGGCTCTTTTGACCAATGAGGACACCAAACCCATCACCTACGAGAAAGACAGATGGCTGGTCAAACACGTCGCTGACAGATTTCTACCTCTTCCGCCTGCAATTATTTCCAAATATAAAAAAATATATATGTTATATATTTACCACTGCTGTCCACAACAGAGAGGAAAGACAGAGAACTCCACGGTAAAGGACATGACAACCCGGGAGACGAAGGCCCCGAGGGGTCCTGAAGCCCCAGCAGCTACACAGCAGCGTCTGGAGGGAGCGCGGAAGTGAGCTGAAGGCCCAGGATCTGTGTACGAACAGGAGACTCCCGACGCAGGACAGCGCCACCATCAGGACAAGCCCCAGAATCTACAACAGAACATTGGGACATTTATTTGTCTCTTCAGAGTCTAGTGTGCTTGCATCCTGGCCGTTTTGTGAGAAATACCCATGTAAACAAGTTTAACAGGGCCAAAACCCAGTTACAAACAGCATTCTAGCAGTCGCACACACTTTGATAGCTGTGACCTCTCAGCCATCGTTTAAAAACACAATGCCACTTGGAATGGAGACCTTTCCTAACCGGTGGGAATTCAACAATGAGCGTACCGTCGGCCAGAACAGGCTGGAGAGGGACTGGGGCAGGAGGGTCGCAGAGGAGGACGAGGTCCCGATAACTCTCAACACAGTCACAGCCTTCGTGGTGAGAAGAAGGACCGTAATGCCACGCAGAGTACGAATATTCTGCAGAGACAGAGAACTTATTTGTCATTGCTGTTATTTTTTAAAACCCTCATTATAATCTCTAAAATGACCTATCTATCTGTTAGTCATATGTAAAGTAATTTATCCCATTTTATTTACGTTAAGTACTCAGATTTATCTATTTGAACATGGGGTTATTTTTATTTCCTAACACTAAATATTTATTTTCCTTGTCTCACTTGTTCCACGGTAGCCAGGAGGCTGACGTCCACGTGTCCCCTGTAGTTGTGTCTCTGCAGCAGCTCCACAACCTCCAAGATAATGACCGAGTGATAGATGTAATAAACATAGTGCAGTAAAGACACTGTCAGCAAACTGACCTGAAAAAAAGAGACGGAGAGAAAGTGAGGACATTTTCTGCAGCAGTAAAAGTATTATCGGGTTGATTTTACACACTAAAGCTGAAAGTATGCCGTGTGCTTTGACCGCCAAACTTCACAGGTGTGTTGGTTTAAGAGCCACAGGTTACTTTACCCTTCAAGCTCGGTCATGGTGATCTTGTTTGCATTGGTTTTGGAGCAGAGTCAGTGTGTGTGCCTGTGCAGCTACAAGCTGTGAGCCTTATAAGTCTAAATATTTTGTGTTATTATTGTCTTGATAGTCATAGTTTTGTCTGTGTGTGTGTTTATGCATATGTGGAAGACTCACTTCCAGACAGTTAAAAGGTGTCCTCCAGTATCCCGTCAGGCCTTGCTGTCCTATAGCGTACACGTGATCCCAGAATTGCAGCAGGGACAAGACAAGGAAGAGGAGCTGGAGAGGAGGAAGAAAACTCATGAGGAAGCCCAAAAGCCAAGGTTGCTGTTCGCCCTGCAAACATCTCGCTTTATTTTTGGAAATTGTCATTATGTCCTGGCAGGAATCCACAAATGAAATGCCTTGATAAAAGTATATATATATGAATAATGTGCAGACTTGGTCAGGCTGTTAGCTTCAATTAGCGCTGCTCACTAAAAATGTCATTGTTGGTTGTTTATGTTCATTATTAGCTTTAAAGCTTTTGGGGAAATAAAACTGACCTAAAACCTCATGCGATGTTGTGATCAATAATAATCCAATGTCAATGTTGTTCAGTGCAACGTTGTGTTGGTTTTTATTCTAAAAAAAAAACTCGATCAACAATAGTTTGTAGTGTAAACTCGTATCCGTAGACTCAGCTCCTTCAGCTGTTTAGTGTCTTCATGATGGTGTTGAAGACCAGTATTTTTCACGGGAAAAAGAAGTCATTGTCGCATTTTTTTTTACCTGGCACACCATGACAACATAGTCCCACGCAGCCGGAGTGTGATACACTCTGGCCGAGCGGATTTCGACAGAGGGCAGCAGAACACCGGCGGGGCTCTGCTCAGAGAGCACCGTCACGCTGGTGAACAGGTTGGCCCCAGGGCTGAGCAAGGTGAACTGGACAGAGACAGTCTGTCTGCACAGCCAGCCCTCTGAATGCAGGAGCCTCAGTTTGGACGCAGCGTCCGACCTGCGGAGGAGAAGACGGCAACTGAATGATCACGGTGACAATATCAAAGAAAATGCAGTCGGCGGAGATCGTATTAGGAAAAACTTGAATGGTAATTTCTGCTGTGGGGCCGTTTCTTACTTTGTGTGGCCTAAGCCAACAGTGGTACTTGGTCCCAAGTAGCAGTCCAAGTGACCACATGTCTTTGGAGGCGTTGCCGTAGAAACTAAGACCTGAGTAGTCATAGATTGTCCAATTACACAGTAGAAAAAAGACAAAACGAATCATAAATCAAATTAAATACTTCTAGTAACACAATGGCAGCTTTAATAAATATACTGTTGATAAATAATCTCTAAATGTAATCAATTCTAAATCTTGAAAGATTTTTTTTTTTAAATCACTGCACCACGAGAGTATATCCAGGAGAAACAGTGCACTCTGCAGGGGGAGTTGGTGCAGAGGAACAATCTGTCTCAAGAGGACAGATTAGTTGCTTGACAGTATTGCATTGGATCACTGAAGAAATGTGTGCTTGCTTACTTTTACAGTTATAGATTTGATGTTGTTTAGGTACTATGGAAAACTATTAACAACCTTTGTTTTCAATGGGTGCCGAATCTCATTATTGTCCCCCGTTATCTTTTTTGTTCACCCATTTCAAAAGAAAATCACAATACATTTTACAGGAACTGAAAATATCATGCCAGATACTTAAATAAATTGTTTTGTCAACTTATATCCTAACAGTGTTAGTAACATTGTAACGACATGTCTCCTCTTGTTACCTACCTGGCTGTGAAATGAGTCGGACATTTCTGTCTTCCACAGGATCGGCTCTCCAATCAAGATGTGTGACTGTTGGTGAATATTCGGTGGTGTTTAATAATGATTCATTCATGCTAGATTCAAATGTCAGAAGTAGATTTCTTCAGTGGGTTTAATGGACCTGCATATACGGGGGAAACCTCCATGCAGTGGTGAGTGACAGCAGAACGTTTGGAGCTTACCTCGGTCGTGGTTGACGCATTCTTGTACAGTAAACCAAGGAGACGGCTCTGTGCCCACTTCCACCAGTGCTCGTGCTTTTGTATGGACATAAATGCATCATCGCCACTGTTGAAAGGCAAAGTGTGACGTTTGGAGTGTGTCAGACAGGAATAAGTACAAAGAAACATCTGCATCTTACCGTATGAACCATTTTCTGACGGCTTTATTGAGGTGGGAATGATCGGTGAACGAAGTCCCATAACTTATGCACAGCATCAGGAGAAGCATGCAGCCACAGAGTGACACCTCCCTGGATGGAAAGAAGAGAGGAACTCATTCCTTTGACAACTTGGATCCTTATACACACACACACAGACACACACGTGTGTGCATACCTGAGAGTAATATGGAGAAGTGTCTCCCTTCTTTTCTTGGCACACGTCTTCCTCAGCTCTGCTGCAGTCGGCGGGCGCACCAGACGGAGGTAGCGGGCTCGCCGCCGATCTCCAAGCAGCTGTTGATCAGAGTAAGCAACTCTGTAAGTGTTGTGTTTTTAAATGAAGCGAGTAGAGGGGAAGAGGATAGAGCGGTCTGGTCACCCCACCTTCTCCAGGTACGAGCCTCTTCCTTGTGGAAAGGCAGACGTGCCGACCTGCTCTGCTGCTTGCTTAGCGCCGTTGTGGCTCCACAAATTCGCGGTGTCCTTCTCAAGCTCTCTCACACTGGAGAAGCTGTGAAAGTCAGATCTTTTCCTGTGCCAAAAGGAAACGATCACTGCTGCTGTAATAATCTGCGGAAGAGGGATAACAAACCAAAAAGTATTTCTGAGTGTTTTCCATTTCTTTCTACTTTAGAATTCAGTTGTTTTGTGAAATATAGTTTAGAAAAGTTAACTGGAATTGCTTTACCACAGCTGGTTGGATGAGAAAGAAACAAAACATCAGGGAGAAGAAAAGAGAGTGCATCCAAAGCAGAACCTTGCTGCTGTTGAACCTGATCCATAAAAAGGCAGAGACATACACTCATAACGTGAGATAGAATTCATGCTTCAATACGTTAGTATTATCGATACACCACTGGCTTCACATGCGACAAATCATACATATTCATGATCATCGATCACAGGTATTCTACCTCAATCCAAGCACTGCAGAAAGCACAAGGCAGAAGAGGGACAACAGCAGACAAAGACTCCAGGCCAGATAATGAGACCACTGAGATAGCGGCCGCGGTGCTCTCCCTTCCACACTGTCCATGTGTTCTGCAGGCCTCACTGCCCGCTGATGGTGGTCTTCCTCGTAGCTGCAGTCCGTCAAAAACTTCCCCCGATGTTCCTCGTCCTTCTGAATGGCAAGACTTCCATCCCTGGTACCGGAGAAAAGAGCTCTCTGGGATCCAGGAAACCTGCTGTTTCCACTTAAAATAGCCAACTCTTTTTCCCAGGGTGCTCCATCCACATTTTTCCTCTCTGTAATCAGCAACACATTTTGAAGCGTTGGTCTCGAGTCCTCCTTTCTTGGGACTACATCGGATTGGACTACAGGTTTATTACCTGTGCTTTTATTTTCCAGAATGGTGGTGGACACTGGCAGCATCTCTGTGCCCTTCAAACACAAGGAGAATGGTCGGATGGGCATGAAACATGCGAGAACAAAAAGAGAGACAGGGAAAGAGAAAACAAGAAGATGGGGAAAAAAAGGTGTAACCTGGTATTTGTTGGTCCAGGTTTCCTGCGCCCACTGCTGAAGACTGTTCCAATACAGCTGTGGCTCGAACGCACTGTCATGTAACGAATGGGCATCTGTGAAGAGACAAGAAAAGAGCAGCAGAAAATCCTATAGGGTAAAGCAGATTCCACAATTATGTAGGATTCAGATGATGATTTATTGCATATTCATGTTAAAAAATCCATGTTCATGTTAAACTCCATTTAAGTACGAACCTCCAGAAGGGTCCTTTTCCGTCCGTCGACCCTCCGTGTGCTGGACCACCGACCCCATCGGCTTGAGCTTGCGCAGTCGGAACAGGAAAGATGTCAATGCTGCTGCAGGCAACGCTGCCGCCACACTCAACACTCCCGTCGTCAGAGAAACCGCCGACAGGTCCACGAGGCCCAGCTCAAACGGCAACTGCAAAACAAGTGACCGGAAACATCAGCGTTAAGGGAAAGACGCTTCGGATCGGTCATCCCGCACCAAGTGTCGCACTCCGAAGCTTTTCTTGACCTACCCGATCATTCATCTTTGATATGATTACTGTGTTGACGCACGCGTATCCCGACAGGAGCAGGAGGCTCACGCTAAGTCTCTGAGTGTGCGTGAACGAGTTCGGCCGGGGGCAGCTGCACAAAGACATCCAGATGTGGTAGTCGGCCAAGTAGTCAGATAGCTTGAGACGCAACATCTGCAAGTATACAGGTGGAGATCAAGGCAACGTGGGAGAAAAGATTAAAAGAGGATTTTCCTCTAACACAGCGTTCACACGTGTGCCTTAATGCTGTACCTTAGAAAAGCTCATTCCATGAGTGCAAACTCTGAGCATTTTATCCACCCGGCCGTCATCTTTGTTCACAGCCAACCAGCACTGACCCACAAAGAGCCAAGCTCGTCCTTCCACATGCCCACTTCTCACCTGTTTTGAAAGTAGACGCCAAAAAAGAAACTTGATGCTCAAGTGAAAGTCCTCACAGAAATGAAGAAATGACACCTGTTGCAAGCACTCAAAATGTGGAATTTACCTGGGATACCTCCACTTGCTTCAGGTACCAGTTGGGGGAGGGTCCAGAGTTGTCGTGCCAGATGTGAACCCCCCACACTGGACCCAGACTGTCTGCGGCGCTGTGGGGTCCGAGACAGAGAACAGACTGAAGGGTTAATAAATGAGCAAAGCAGCCATAAAGCTATAAAGTATTATACATATACTGCAGAACATTGTTGGAATTCAGTCTACTGAGTTTATGTGCAAGACAAAACAACGAACACCTTAGTTTTTGAATGATATTTGGATTACCTTAATATAAAGGTGTCTTGAGAGTTCCTCCTGAACAGGTTGCATCCTGGGACTTGAAGTTCTCTTGTCTGTGAGACCCCATTTTTACCATGGAGCACTATGTAAACCTGATAAAGATGTGGAAACGATTTCCCAAACACACTACTACAAGTAACGACTTTTCATGAGACCATCTTTTAGTTTAGTCAATTAGTTTAGGTCTAAGCGCTGTGACGCATGCTGGTGATCTCACCTTTGCACTCATGCGCGCTGTAGAGCGCGGCCCTGTGTGGATTGTCACAGCATAGAGGTATGGGTCACATGGAGAGTTGTCAGAAAGAAAGTGTGCCCTCCGATTCACCTCAGAGCCGACGTCAGCTCTCTGACACGCCACCAACCCCGGGATGTACAGGCATAGGCAGAGCACCAGCACACCCAGCACAGTCAGATCCCTGGACACACTAAGGCGACAGAGAGGGAGAGACAACTGTAGCAAATGTCTGCTTCTCAATTAACAAAGACCACTTACAAAAGAAGAACATGGAAAACCTTTATTTACGGTTACTTTGGACATTTTTTTCACATAGCATTATTGTTCTGTATGTGTGGAACTGGATGACGTGGTCCAACTTTCAAGACGCAAATTACTGCCAAAAATACATCATCCAACTCTGAGGAGGGTTAAGTCACCTGAGGAACGGGTCCAGGTCGGTTGTGTCATGGCTGCTTGCGATTGGCTGCCGCAACACGGTCAGCGGCCTCAACTGGTGACAACTGAGACACGCCGCACACACCAATGAGCAAGCATTGATTCACTAGTGTTAACCGAAATACCTCACCGGGAAAGGTCTAAATACTCTCACGCCCACACGCAGACTTAAACCCTGCCTTACCTGCAGTTGACTGCAGCAGCCATGTCTGCTTGTTGTGTCCTGCAGTCGTCGGGAGTCCAGGCCCCCTGGTGGCCGTCCCAGGACAAACACAGGCTGCTGTCCACTGTGACACCGTAACTCACCTGTTCACTTAGGTGCTCGTGTCTGGGTGTTTTCCCAAAATTAGCATTTAGCAGAGCCAGGTGACCGATCCCTGCAGCTAGAAATTATAGCATTTCAGTAATGCATTTTGTTTTCTTGTTGAGTTATGCAGCCATATCTATGAATAGCATTGGAAATTAGCTCAAGCTAGATTTCTGTGATGCGTGGCCCGAGAGCTGAAGATTGAGCTAAAAGATTGAATGAAGACATTGCTTACTGCTGAGGTAGGATGGTGGCAGAGTGAACCGTGTGGTGTTCCTCTCCCAGTGGTGAATCCTGTGCAGGTGGTGTACACTGGGAGTCGGCCTCTCAAACATCCTGCCACAACAAAGACTCTTGGTTTGGTTCTTTATCAAAATCTTGCTTTTTACCCAAGAAACTGATCAAAAGTATCACATTGCTGTACTATGTTGCTCTTACTACCTGATGAAATTGAGCACAAAACCTCACACACCTGAAGAGCAGCATGATGGGAAACACCTTGTTGAGCGGCGGCGTGAACACCACGCTCAGCTGGATGGCCTGATCCAAGTGCTCCTGGGTAATGTTGAAGCTGTGGTAGTTGACCCTGCTCCGTAGAAGGACGTACTCGGGCACCGCGCTCTTCTGCAGAGTGGACGTGATCACATGGTCACCCAGTCTCATTTAACAAAGGGCTCCACCGCAGCGACACGGTGCAAACGGAGACAACTTGTAAACAGAAGCGAATAGAAAAGAAGAGACAGTGTCGTACGATTCTCGGTGGTCCTCCCAGCGTGATGATCATCGGCTGAATGAGCGGGCGAACGGGGATCTTTCTCTTTGTGCTGCACTTGTAAAGACTGAGGTCCACCACCGGCCCGCTGGGCTGCTTTCCAGCCGAGCGGGTCTGGGCGTAAGGACTGTGGCTGAGCTCGGTCAGCACGCCGAGCACACACGGCCGGCGCGCTCCGCTCCCAGCGTCCCTGCTGCCATGAACAAAAACACGCTGGACCAGGGAGTCGGGCAGGTGGAAGGCGGTTGAGCCGCTGCTGAGGACAGCGGAGGTTTGGTTTAGGGATGCGGCGTACAGGGCGATGAGACCAGTGCTGACTCTGTGCTCGTGGGCCTCATGGGTCAAAATGTACTTCTGAAAGAAAGGAAAAAAATAGCGTGAGGGGCTGAGGGATTAAAGGAGGTACAAATATGAGAAAACATGCAGGCTCACGAGTAGACATGAACAGGAACACCTTTGTGTTCTCTCACCAGCATCAGGTCTGAAGCAGTCTGGAGAATATCAGCTACGAGCTGCAGAGCCTTCTTTGTTGAAATTGGTGATCCTCGCTCCATGTGACTACCGCTGCGTGAATCCTGCATTTCATCATGTTGGTCCGAACCTAACGCCTGCGTAATGTCGGCACTGGCGGACATTTCAGGTCCGAAGTCATCGGTGATTAGAGCGGCTTGCAGGCAGTGTGACAGCAAGGCTACCAGGGTGTTCAGTGTCGTCTGAGAACACCAAGCTGGAGCACTGGAAAATTGTTCTGAGATGAGCCGGGTGTGGACGGTCACTCGTCTCGCACTCGCTAATGTCACCTTGACGAGATTGAAGGTTGCGTGAGAAATGATTTCTGTCTTTTGGCACGTATCCATCGGTGTCTCTTTGTCAAAAAGTCTGAAAGTCAAAGCTTTCACCTACCTGGCTCGTAACTTCTAAAAGGTTTTTCAGAATGCAGATGTTGTCCACCAATGATGCCTGGGATCAAAACATTTTAAAATGCTGTAAAATGTCAGGGAAAGTGTTTCTACCTTTGAGGCGTGATTCTATTAATCTTCAGGTTTAGAATATATTCCGCGTGAGTACCTGTCCACTGCTCTCAAGCTCACACATCGTTCCGATGAGCATGTTGCGTGTGCGTCTCTGTGCGTGTGCGTTGGCCTTAGCGTCCAGGCTGAGTCTGTTGAGAATCCGGGAGAGAAGACTGACGTAGTTACGAATCTCCGCGCCGTTTCCAAGTCGCACCAGAGCCGAAAGATTCCTTAGACCCGACTCTGACCTGGAGAGAAAGAAATATTGCTGACACAACATTATACTGTATAAATAGTAAGACAGTAACTCGTTCAGATGTACTTTAAAAACTCCTGAGGCGTCACAGAGGTTGATTCATGGTCCGCATATATATATACAGAGAATCCCTCTAACAATACCCTGCAGACACAACCATAATCCTGACTGTGTGTGATAGTTCGGTGATTCTTACAGCTCCAGGTCAGGATCACTGTGGGATGAATTCGGGGCGTCTCTGAAGAAGCTTGGTTGGACTTGGACGGTGACGGGACAAGGTTCAGAGGCCGCCCCGTCCATGCTGCTTTTGATCTCTGTGGAAATAGTTACTGCAGGAACAAAAAAAAGCAAATCCCGCAATGAATGAAAAGGCGAATCTCTGCCTTGGTTGTGTAACACAAAAAGGTATTATTCACTGTCCACGTGTGCAGGTTTACCTTTGTGGTCATCGTTTGGGTCCCCAGAAGGAAGGCTGAAGTAGTACTGGAAGTCTCTCCCCTCATACAGAGTCCTGGGAGGTCCACCTCCGACACGGACACTGTACTCGTACACTGAGTCCTTCAGCACACACACATTAACGTGTGAACAGTTGCAATAGATTCAAACTGCGGTAAAAAGTTAGATGATCATGGTTTTTTTTTCTGTGTATGTTTAGTGATGAAAAAATGGAGAGGTAGTCATGAATGAGTGAACTAAAATATCAAAAAGCAAAGAGGGTTATTGCAGAGTCAAATTTGTTTCTTTCCTGTCAAACATCTTGGAAATAGCAGACAATGGACCCTTAATTACAGATGTCTATTAAACTATGGAAGGTTGAATAAGTAATAGAAGTAATCATGAGAGGGTGCTTTCGTGTTTACTTTATGACACAGCAAATACCTCTTTTCCTGAGGTGCAGAAGATGCTGAAGTGTGTGTATAACTCCCTCCCTCTGACTGGCTGCACCTGGCACGTCACACCTTTTGGAGCAGGGTTGGTCTTTAAGAATAGCTGAGTCCGGCCCAGAAAACTATCACGAGATTCTACGTTGAGAAAGGAAGCAATCACATCGACTTTTATCTGTTTAATATCCATCAATCTACCCACCGATCCAGGACACCAACCATCCATTGTATCGGTTCAATTATAACAACAAAGGATGTTAATTATGGGATTTTCTGTAGCAAATGTGGGGAGGACTGAGAAAGAAACTTTTAGGCGAAAAATGTCCGTTGTTATTGTGAAACTTACTGGCTGTGATCGCCAACATGTATCTGCTCCCAGGACTCAGACTGTATGGTCTGAAACTCAGCCAAGGGGAGGAAATGCCTGAGGGATAGAAGAAGAAAGAAAGGTGTCTAAAAACTCAAAAGGGTGCAGAGAAAGGAAACCTGTTTCTGTGGGTTTTCTGAATAATGCACCTGTGTAAGTGTAGGACTCAAAAAGACCTCTGTCCACTTCGTCTCTGGGTAAATCGAGCAAAACCGACTCCCGGATCGCAACTGATGGTCTGGAATGTATCAGGTTATTCCCCTCATCTTCATGTGAGGCTGGATCGTGAAAGGATTCATCTCCTGGACTGAAGCTCTCCCCGTCCATACCTGGAAATAACATGCAAGTGATTAACACACCACATCCCACATCAGTGATTATTAACATGGGAAAAGATGCACTTTACCTGTGGGTCTTCCTGCTGAAGCCCCTGGGTTTCCTTCCTCTGCGCTCATCAGGGGAACATCATAATCTGAATCTGGCATAAAAGCATCGTAAAGCAACATACAGGTTAACACGAGAGGCTGAAAATCTGTGCAGACTTTGTACATGAACAAAGGGAATTGCTCAATTGTGTTATGAAGAGAAAAAAGACAATTTGACACGCGGCTATATTACTTAAGCTACCAAATTAAATAATCATTTGATTCTGTGACAGATGTTTTGGGATACTGCCAGATCTAAGAAGCTTCACAGACATCCACTTAGTTTTCCCTCACCTTGTTGACCTCCCATGTCCCCGCTTTCCAGAACAGGGAAAGAAAACTCCCAGTCAGCAGAGGAGTCAGATTCAATTGGGAATTCACTGATAACGCCAGCCTGGCGAAAGTGGTCTGCATATCGGGCGCCGCTGTTGTCAAAGGTAAGTTGCGGGTATTCAGTGGAGGAGTACAAAGGCCTTGGAGGATCGTACTCTCCCAGGAGGTGATAAAAGGGCTCCTCTCCTGGATTTAAAGAGGAAAAGCTGTTAAATAATTCATAAACCATCCACTTTACTCTAAGTTTGACCTTGCCCATTATATCGTGTTGATCTATCCTATTGATGGCCATGTCTTAAATTTCTTTCCTTTGTTTGTTTTTTCATTGTGAACATGGTAAACATTGAAAATTATTCATAACATTTTATTTCAATTTGTACTCATGTAAAGTAGATTTTTATTTCAAACAGCAACAGCTGCACTGGGCTTACCTGATCCTTGGGTGTTTACGTCTACTAGATATGAGACAGGCGAGGGCTCCGCTTCAATCAAATCTGAGCGAGGGGGAAAAGAAGGAAGTGAAGTTTGCTGACACGGTGTTGCTTTCTGTATCTGTATGCACTTCTCCTTTTAACAGAGGCCACCACATGCAAAGCAGACAAGCCAGTGACATGTATTCACACACTGTGTGGGTGCATTGTGAAGCACCTGGGGCAGGTGGATAATGGGTGGAAGTCCCAGGAGTCAGAGGGGAAATGGCAGAACCCTCCACGATGCTAGACGGAGCACTGAGATCCACTGTGTAACAAAATGGCACTAGAATAGAAAAGGTTACAATTCAGGTGATTTGTTTTCTCAAAAACCAAATAATGTCCAAATGCATTTTTTTTTTACCTTGTATGACGGGCTTGGATGACGCATTGACCAGGAAAAGGCTCCAAGTGTACTGGATGTCTTTTGGAGAAACACTGCAGCCTTCACACGAGGCGCCGACAGAGAAGGACTCATGCCAGTTCACCTGCTCGCCCTGGCACTGAGGGCAGGAAACGGACACCTTCCTGGAGTGGAAAAATTCAGATATATGGTAAAACTCTCAAGGTGCATCAAGGTACAGCAGACTGGAAAATGCTTCTAAAATTCTTTTTACTTTACAGCATCCAAATATCATCGGTCCTCAGTAATTTATTCATTTTTTAGAACTCTCACCCGATTGCATTTGGCGTTAAGGTGAGAAAGGTCTCTGATGAAGCTGAACGCTCTCCGCTGTGGACGGTGAACGAGAACTGGAACTGGTGAAAGGTGTCTTTTAGGAAACTAGCAGGGAACGCCAGCACGGGGGATGAAGTGGGAACATCGTGGTGGAAACAGGAGCTGGTGATGGAGCTGACCGGTTTACACGTCCAGCTGAAGCTGTTAAGCAAATAACAAAAACAAACATTGTTGAGATTGAATGCTTGTTTTAGTAACACCTTATACATGTGCACACATTGCACAGTTTATGTACCTGACTGGGTTCACGGGGAAGTCTGGGTCGTAAGATCTCTGCCCGTCCAGGGTGACCACGGTGTCGTTCCGGTTGTTGATGAAGACATTGGTGCCGCCCCGGACGAAGGCAACAGGAGGGCTCGGTATCACCTGCACTCTCACGCTGTAGTTACTGTACACCACACTCCCGCCGACCTGAACCTGCAGAGCAATGGCCTTTAGAGTCTCGGTCCCCCACCCCGTGCATGTTTAAGGATCTACGTGTGATGGCTATCTACCCTCGCCATGGCGGTATACGTGTCGTAGTGCAGGAGATGGCTGGGCAGGATGAGGCTGCGTCTGTGTGTGCCTACATGAGGCAAAGGGAAAACCCGTCCTGCAGAGTCAAACAAGGTCCAGGTGTAGTTGAGGCCGCCGGAAAGGTCACAGTCAAGTTCCGTCTCAAAGGTCACCCCCAAGTGGACAACCTCGTGTCTTCGCACCTTGAAGAGAGGGATTAATTAGATGATGGTGGCAATGTAGATGTCATTTTATCAACGTAGCCATAGCACACGTAGGTTAAAGTCCCGGCGGCAAAATGCACCTGTAGTTTCAGAGGCCCCATGTTTTTCACTGGTGGAGGCTGACAATGCCGGTCCACCACAAAGACGTGACCACTTAGAGAGGCAGAACTGACCAGGTTAGACACAGTTACCTCCACTCTGAACTCTCCTGTCCTGCAGAGCGTAAAACACATAAGCACTAAATGTACAATGGCAAAAATACACATTTCATTTGCTCAACCTGAAGAAATAAATCATCTTTAAAAGTGTACATTGGGTTCATAACTAATAATTGATAAACTAGCTTAACCTATCAATATTGATAGCCTATTTGACAGTATAAAAAGATCTGATTAGGATATATGTATTCTTTCAAATAATCACACATCCTCCTCAGGTTTCCTTCAAATTCAGTCAGATTTATGAATTTTATCAAGATTTTTCATTTTTAAAATGATGAATTTAATCTGACAAGCATTTCTGCTTTGGAACTTTATATTATATATGGGCTAGCACATACAGCAATACAATATCCCCATACCTGTATTAGAAGCATCCTATTTGAATTAACCGAAGCTCCCGCTAAACTTATTAAACAACAATGCCAGTGAAGCTCGCCTGTGGAAAACGTGCTGCTCGGTGCTCCGTCCCAGCCTGGACGATCCGTCTCCAAAGCTCCAGAGAAAGGTGACATCAGTGCCCACATTGAGCCGGCAGCTCATCGTCACGGTTTGGTTCTGCAGGACGGAGGCCCGGAGGACCAGCCTGTTGAGCCTCACTGCTCTCTGCACAACCAACGGGAACACATCGGAGGTGATGGAGGTCCGGCCACTTGACATTACTACAACTACAGCATACCTACGTTGAAGAGAGGGGTGGTGTCAATACTTGTACTGTAGTTGAGTCCATGTGCTGTATTTCCTTTTATTCTTGACAGCGGCGTATCTACAAACTCTTCTGGAACTATTTTCAATGAGTAAAATGAAACCATGCACACAGTAAAAGAGACAAAGAAGCATGTACATTGTATTTTGAAGACTTGGTCGCATACCTGCCAGGTTTGTGGTATCTTTCGGTGACGGTTCTTGAGGCGGTTCTCTTTGATCTCGAGTTCCCGAAGTGCCAGAGGAATTCCACAGGTTCCGGTACTTTAGCCATGGCCACAAAGGTTATATCGGTATTTGTGGGATACGCTTGCTTTTCTGCATAAATCCACACTGTTGGGAGACAAAACAAATATTTACATTGCCGCACAATTTGTATGTATTTATTCTTATAAGTTTCATTTTTATAATTAAGACTTGAATTAATGAAGGCACTCGCAATTGAAAAGGTAGTTCAAATGTAAACCATACATACTGTTTTTTTATATTCAATTATTGTTTATTTATTTATACAAAATGAACCAAAAGCCTGACCATAAGGAAGATCTAAGGGAGATAATAATGAGAATAAATATGAAACATAATGCAAAGCATACACTCTGAACTAAAAAGGAATCTAGTTTGAACACTTGTACTATTTAGAATTTATTCATTGAAAATCATATATAGAAAAGAAGCATTGATCTACTTGATCATTTTGAAGCTGTCATTTTCTTTGTCAGCGTTAAAAACAGAACCAAAGCCAGAAAATAAGGGTAAAAATTAAGTTGTGTGTCATAAACAAAGATGAAAATGCTTCAACATTGACAAAAATCTTAGACATTTTCTTAATAATTACAAGCAAACAAATTCACACTTCCTTAAAATAAAAGATAAAGAGGTTCATGCAGCTCAGTGGTTGTTCATTAAAAACATTTTCTCACCTTTGTCATCCAGGTTGTGAACAGGACTTTGACTGCATGGTGGTCGCCATGTTGGATTAACCATAACCTCTGGTGACAGTTTCCGGTTGCCCTCGACGCGCACTTTCACGCTTCTGTTCTGAGAAGACACTCGATTCTCCGCCCGAAGCTCAACCACAACTGTCCCGGCTTGGTCGAAAAGCGAAACCACCGTTGTTTCCTCTCCTGCAGCGTAGCTGCTGTTTCTGTGCAGCAGCGTCGTATTCACCAGCAGAGACACGGTCACATTTGAGCCTGCTGTGACGCTAAATGAAACCGGGTGTCTCTGATGTGCCGTGACCACGCTGGGAACGTTCAGTAATAACTCCCCAACTGGATCCTGAAGCAGGATGTGTGTGCAGAGCGAGGCCCGGCCGATCGGGTCCAAGGCCTTGGCCGTCACGTTGTAGCGGCCTGCTGCAGTAAGAGACACATTCACGCTCCAGTCTTCGGTTGTCCTGCTTATCCCAGCGTTATTATCCAAACTGAAAGTCCAAAGAACTCTCGACCTCGTTCGGCTGACAGGGCCGACGACCCGCAGGTGGACTTCTGTGTGCGTTGAAACTGCTGACTTCCAAGTCCAGGAGGAAATCAGCGCACGCGTGATTTCGTCCACCACAAAGGCTTGAGGCAGCAGGTGGGAGAGCGGCACAGACGTTGGGTCAGAAGTGTAGAGAAGAGGCGCTCTGAGGCAACTTTCGTTCGTCTACAATTAATTGAAGAAACATGTGGGATTGAGGGTTCATTCAAAGGAATGGCAATACTTACATATTTGAAGCTGATAAAAGACATTGAAACTATAATGAAAAAATAAATAACACATTATTTTTAGATTTTAACTCTTTAATATCACTTTCTATGAAAAATGATTTGTCATAAAAAGTGAGAGGCTGGACTTTAAAGATAAGCAGGTTGTCCTTAACATTCCTGATTTATTGCAATGTAAAAACATTTTTAAACAGCTATTGGCTGTCATTTAGCTTTGTTGATCCATCTTGGTAAATTTTATAAGAACATGTACTTAATGAAAAATCAGAGACCTTGAGCCTTAAACGCTGACAACATTCAATGTAAAAGTGCTTCTCCGTCAGCGCCACTCACCACAGTGCTGATGGAACAGTCGGATGTGGGATTGCAAGCTGCCTTGACAACCTTCTTATCTTCCTCCTTTTTGTCGCGTGTAATCCACCGGAAAAACTCCTCCGCCACACCATCGGCCATGTGTGCCTGCAGCGTGACTGGGTCGCCCAGGTACGCCTCCTCCACTGTCTCTCTGTTGGAGCCTCTTGGGCTCCTGGGGGAGACACCCAGGGGGCCGTGAGGCACAGAGACCACCATGCCGTCTGGAGAGGGCTGCAAGACGGAGAGGTGGAGGGTGGAGGATGCTGTTGAGAGGGGGTTGGAGACGCTGACGTCTACACAAAACAATGACAGGGTAAATGAGAAAGAGGGTGAAAAAATAACAATGCATGTTTTTCCTTGATTCATTGTTCTCCATTTGACTAAATTTGCTTGGTCTAGTTAACTTACTGAGTTGATACTTTCCTGGCGTTGGCAAAATCCAATCAGATGACACAACAAAGGAGCCGTCATGCAACACATTGACGGGGCGTGATCTTTGACCCGTAGACGTCGTTTCCCGAAACTCCACAGTGACGTAAGAGAGGTCCTGCTCTCCTAGACCCGGAATCCCTAAAAATCAGAAAAAATCCTTTAAAACAGAAAAGTAGAAACAATAATGCTACAAGGAATTAAATAAATATGTAGGTTTTAATCAAATACGTATTATTTTTCTATTATTTTACGTATAGAATACTTTCTCAACCGTTATCATAAGCAGTTGTTTGTATGACATCATCATATTTACAAATTCTGTATATAAATTAAATTATTTCATAAATACAATATATATTTTGAAGGAATTATTGTTGATGATTTGTGTCCATATTACAGTCCGACTTCACTGGTAAACAAAGTATTATAGAAAATATGTTTTCCACTGAAGCTTAAGTAGCTTATTTATAGTTTATTTCCAATCATTTGTATTAACATCTTTTATGCGAGGTGACTGTGACTGTTTTTCAAAAGTAATTTATTTTTGTAAAATCACTAAACCTTTCAAAGTTAAAATAGATGAAAACATTAACAATAACAACACTGTCTTTCTAAAATTCTGTTTCCTTTTTATCTTCTGTATCTGTATCTTCCTCTAATAATTTCAATAATAATAATAATTGATAATGATAAATACTATATAATTAAACAGAATTAACTATATAGTACAACTCATTGAAGTAAAAACTATGAATAAGTTCTAAAATAAAAAATTGCACACGTAAACTAGGTTAAAAAAAGATTTTCACTCGTAAGTACTAGAGGAAACATCAAACGCCATCATTTGTAACCAAAAGAGTCGAGCCATGTGTGGAACTTGAAGAGTCCCATTTCCGAGAACTACACTTTGTGTTGAGCAGCAACCTGTGGGCTGTTTGGGGCGTCCAGCCAAGTTTCCAGAAACTTCCATGACAAAAGTCTTTCCCGCCTGCACACTGTCCGGAGACGTAGACAGACGAACGCTGTGCAGAAATGGTCCTTCAGTTCTGTAGAGGGCCACACATCCCTGTTCACCTCCAACAGGAAAGTAGGGGACACTGAGGAAAGGACAAGATTCACAAGTCAGACACACACACAAAAAAAAAAACCGTGGTACTGACGTAAATGTTTTACTCATGATGGCAGGAAGAACACAGCCGTCCTCGGTCACTGGTGGATCCAGGCATGAATCAGAGGCGCTGAAGTTACACTGAAGGACAAAGGAAAAGGCAGCAGTCCGTCTCACCTCTGTCTCTCTCCTCTGTCATCTTTTGTCCCTCCACTGGAAGATGTGTTGAAACACTCACTGGCCACAAAACCATGTTGCTGGTTGCCGCAGTAACAAGCCTGCGAGGTCAACGCTGCAACCTGGTACCTTCAACAACGAATACTGAAAGTTGATGAAATACTGTTCTGCAAATGCATCATCAAATTTTTTTCAGCAATAAGCCACATAGTTGAGAACAATAAAAAGATACTTGTCTGAGTTATGCAGAAGTCAACCAATATTTCTGACTGAGCAGACCAAGCACGCATTGAATTCTATTGCAAACGATCTTGATTTTGGACATTGAAGAATTATTTTTGGATTTTTACTCTTTTGTTCGTCAACGTCCTACATAGAATTAGGTAGGCCTGGTCTGGTGTTTGGAATTATATTGCAAGTAATATTTTGCAAATAATATTTGAGAATAAGAACATCAGCTACAAAAAAAAATGGGATCCGACTGAGTTTTTAGAGGCATTGTATATAATAATAATTATATATGTGTAAATTGCTCTACATTACTATCACAATTAGGAAAGTAACCGTGACTAATGACGGATTTAAAAAATGACACCGTGGATTTTCTCCGTAATTTGACAGAAATAGACACAAATCGACCTCAGACTAAATGCAAACGATTCAACGGGATATGTCACAGCCCCCCCCCCCCCCACCCCCAACGTACCCTTTCTTTAAGCAGCGAACGCAGCAAGAGGCCGGGTCAAGGTCACGGGCCCCCTCGGTCCTGTATAGGCTGCTGCTGGCGCGGACGCATCCAATGAACCACGGTGCGTCCTGGCGATCGGGAGGAAGAGCTGCCGCCGACCAGCGGGAGCAAAAAATCGGATGCAAGGAAAGGAGCGCGCAGAAGGAAGCAGCGAACATGTTCGATCCGCGAGGTGTCCGCGCGTAGGACGCAGCTGGAGCGATGAGAGCTGCGGGTGGGCTGAGCGGAGTGAGGATAGAGGAGGCAGGTGCGTTGACACCTCCGACTAGGTACATGCAGGTGTGAAGGGAGAGGCGGAGGACATAGAGGATCTGAATGTAAATGTATCTCCCTGTGTGTGGGGGGCAGGATGGGTGTGACGGAGGCGGAAGCTCTTCATCGAGGCAACAAAAAGAGCAAATCACCTTCAAAGACGTGCGATAAATGAGTCCGCCTGAATTCGGTGGCCACGGTGTTGCGTATTTCTTCTCCGCTGGCGGAGTTCTTCTGTGTTTCAACATGACGTTTACATATTTAAATAAATGTGCATCCAGACTATACATGATTATGCTCTCTATCTCTCTCCACAAAGGTCACCAGTCAATCACAAAATTGCAATGGGCAGTATAGGCTTTTACACGCATAGCTGTCCAAGCACAGGTAGCAAAGGATTAAAAATAAAAAAAATGAAAATGCCTGTTTCCCATTGTGGTCTAAGATACTTCTTTAAACACAAACATTGTAAAATGTTGTAACCTTGTAAGAAAACAAAAATATGGGAAAGTGCAATGATGGTGGTTTCTGTTAAATATTATATTTGATAGCCATTTTAATATTCATTAAACAGGCCTACGATCCTCAAAAAGAAGGAAAAGTTTTTTCAGACATGTTTGTGAAACAAGTATGCGTCCTGCCACGAAGGAAATATTTAAAGCCTTATAGTATTTCCCTTTATGGACCAGCCTCTTGTCGCTATGAACGAGCAGCATATCACTGGGAAGCGAAACCAAACATATAATTGACTGCAGTGTGGACACGTCAATGTTAACTTTTTTTTGTCAACAACATTTCTTTTTCTGAATCTGGATTTTTTTTAAATCCTACAAATGAGTTAAAGCGGTGGATTAGTATATTAAATTGTCACGCTGCCCGGGTCCTGGTCGCCTCATATTTAACTAAATCAAGGACTTTCTTCAAAAGCGTGTTTTGAAATGGAAAGCAGAAACACATGAACCCCACTAGCTGGGGTAAGTTTTTTTTAAACAAAGTTTATGAAAATTGAGATCATAAACTCCAGTGCGAATCCCTTTAACGTATTGGTATTTTTTTAAACACAACGGAACCGTCGGAAGGGCTTCGTCTGGGTCCAATTCACCCCGCGAGCACCTTCCTGGGGAGAAAACCAGAAGGGTCCTCGCTGCGCAGCTAACTTCCCCGGTCCACCTTAAAAGACTCTTCCGCTTCCCCAGACCTCCCCTTTAAGAGAAGCTCAGGCGCGTGCGTGCGGCCTGCAGGCGGCGCTGTGAGACCGCTCCATCCCCTCGCGCTGCCTTTTAGCATCGAGAAACATCATAAAGGGACTCAAACCAGCTTTCTCTCTCCGTTTGTTACACACAATTCCGCAGATTTTGTTGATTTCGTTCCGTCTCTCCAATCGGGGACTCGCGGACGTCCCACGTTACAAGAAAATAATCAGACATTAGTGACGTACACGAACGCAAACACGTCTCCTCCCCCCCTAAAAACTAAAAAGCGGGATTTTTTTTATTCAACTGCATATATGAAATCTAATTAACGGTAGGGAGACCTATATTTCACTCACATATAACCTAATTACTAAATTGGGGTAATTGCAAATTAATTAATTTATGAAATACACAATGCAGTGTTGGGTGCGGGACCCCCGGAGCTCACAGAAGCACCTCCTGGTTCCCCGAATCACACTTGGAGAGGCATTTTATGACCAGACCTCCAAAATGAAGACTCAGCGCCGTGCCCCCCCTCCTCTCCCCTCCTCTCCCCTCCTCCCCCGGGCCCGTGAGCTCGACTAACCTGCTTAATTCGTTAAGCGCGTGCTTTGCGTCCAACCTGTGCGCGCGGCTATACGACCGAGAAATGATTTGGTCAACGAAATCTCGACGCGTTGCGCCGCGCCGTGACGGAGCGCCGCATACTGTGGGGACGGAGCGTTATGTAAGCGCCGCCTCGGAGCACAGCTGACCCTCCGGTGCACCGTGGAGGCTCTAGACGGAGCAGTATTGGAAATAGATTTAGTCCCATAAGCGTGTTGTGGTGGAGTGGAAAACCAGCCCGTCAACTCTGTGTACTTTGGATGGGCGGGGTGGGGGTGAGGTGGGGGGGGGGGTAAAGAATGGGATAAATTGGGATGTGGTATGAACATATGTACTTAAAACCGATTTTTTTTTAAGTAAAAACGTAATATGTGTGTTTTTATCTGGTGGTAAGCAAGTGGTGACCATATGTGACCCCCCTCCCCCCCCCTTTCTTGCATCTTCCGATCCGAGAATAAAGTACAGAGATATGTTTGTAGAAAATTATTTTAAAATGTAATTTACATGACCAATAGGCCTGATCTCATCTCATCCCTTGTCCCTCAACATTGTTAACAAAAGATCCAACAGCTCCAATATTCTTTTGAATCGTGGCGGTTTCATGAAAAGTCTCAATAAGTCATTGGTTTCTGAACATGTTCTAATTTGCTTTGTCATTAGTTTTTAATAGCTAAAAAACAAAAGCAGGACACGTGAAACCTTCTGACCCGACAGCACTCTCTAAAGCAAGGATCAAACCAGTTCATTATAACAGATCATTTATAAATCGTGCCAGTAGGATGAAGCAGGTTCAGGTGTGGCCACAGAGGTTTTGAACAACTTAAATGTGACAAGAATCTGTGACACAAGCGCTCCATTTATCCACTGTGTGACATTTGAAACTTAAACATTTTTCTATTTGGAAGAAACCCTGGGAAGCATTCGCTGCATCCCGTTGCCAAAGCACAAATAAAACACGAAAGGCAGATTCATGGCATTGAGTACTCACCGAATAAGCGGAGACAACTCAATCCTCAACATAGAATATTAGCACATCAAATGAAACGAGTTGCTTTTGAGGGAATAATAATTGGAAAGGGCAGTTTGTTCAAATACATTTTAGTCTCATCGTCGTCTCACGTTTTAACAACCTTTAACTTTATTCTACTGTGTTTCCACAGACATATTTTTCTGCACTTGTAATTATACTGTGCATTTCAAATCGATCTGCAGAATCTAGATTGAATCTCAGACCTTAAAAGAACAGTTAAAAGCCAGCAACTAACTATAATGTTGCCCCAACTAATGCAACGCGTCTGTGACGCGTGGATCGTCATTAAAAATAAACGTGTCTCACTTGTAAAGCGCGGTCACGTGACGCTTTACGTAAGTGCGTTGCGTTAATGAATGATGCCTATAACACGCGGTGAAAGTCGCACATGAATTAACGCGTCATCCAATCATACATTCACAAATCCGTTCGCCGGCATTATAAGCCTCGAGTCCAGGGAGGCGATTTGGAAACGCGGGTCACGATGGTTGGATGAACCGGAGGTAAGCTGCAGGTCTCGGGTCATTTCTGAGAGAGGTCACAAGAAGAATTATAAAGATACAAAAATAACTCAAATACGGTGACATAGTGCGACCTGTAGGACCTAAAGTTCCTCACGTCGTGGACATTCAAAAGATGGCGCTATTAGAATGCATTCATTAGTTGTGTAAAAGTATAAATTCGGGGTGATGCTTGGTGACCTTTGTACTTCAACGTATACATGAAAACAGCCATATTTAAAAGCTAGTTTCAGGCGCTCTTTGGCCCAGAGGGTGAGAAGCAACTCAGATTACACTCCAAACAAGTCTCAATCAGGCCAAATTATTATCGAGGATTTACTGCACCATGCAGATCGTATCGGATCAACAGGAGCATTTTTTGACAAAGATGGCTTGAGAGAGAAAAACATATTTAACAGGACACTTTCCAGCTAATATCTTAGCAAAACCCTTGTGAGCCATGCATCATCCAGCAAACAGATTGATGGGATAAAGAAACACCACGAAATAAAATAATAAAAAAGTAAAATCATTTTACATCACAATAATATTATGCTAATGATAAAGATTGGTTTTAATCCAAATAAGTCCCAATGAACCATGGAACTGTACAAAAAACAGAAAATAACTACAATACTGAGAAGCTCCCTGTATCTTTCTCGATGCAAATATGAATCAAACTAAGGAATTTAAAGTCACTATAGACATAATGGCCACATTTCAAATCAAGATAGTGATTCTGCCTTTTTGCAATACGAGACATAAAGAAGTAAGAGTTGAGAGAAAACCTTATCTAGCAGTTGCCCACCCCCTTACCACACACACACACACACACACACACACACACACACACACACACACACACACACACACACACACACACACACAAACAAAAGTGGCCCATTATATTTTCCACGCACCCAATCAGAGAAACTTCACTTGAAGAGCAGAAGAAAAGAAGCTGTTCCACTCCTATCTGGCTAACATACAGCCTCTAGTGCCTGCGTGCCCTGCAGCAAGGCAATATGTTCATCCATCTGACGTTTGACACATATCCCCGAACTGAGGTGAGAGAATCTGTCAACTTTGGCAATGGGGCAATTACATTGACATCAGTAATCAACAAGCTGAGGCCTGAATGGATGCAGGCGTTTTTGTCACATTTATGTCAGAATTATTTCTGTTTCGTAAATAATGCAAATCATATTGATTCTTTATTTGTTCCTGTGTCAGCATTGGAGGAGGTTATCCGGTATGTGTGTGTGTGTGTGTGTGTCTTTTATCCCCAATCCAGCCTGGCCTCCCTGTCCTAACTCCCTGGTATGAAGGGTCAAAGGTCACCGCTGCTTGTGGCCGTGTTCAAATCCCTCTATAGTGTGTAATGTTCTCAACTGATCAGTGGTTTCATAAAAGGATCTAGTGTCCAGATATTAGTTTTCAAGCCGTGGAACATTTCAATCAGATGATTTAAAGGCGAAATACACATGTCGTCTAATCTTGTGCTCTGTGAAATTGCTTAGTTTTTTCATAGCAGATTATTTTAAATAAATCCCAATGGAGAGTGAAATATGCTTTTAAAAGGGTTACTGTGGTCTTTTTTCTCTCAATGGAAACAAAATACCTTTTGGTAGAAATTTGTACCGCATCTTTTAAGTCAACCTTTAAAAATGTCTACAGAACCTGTGACATGAAACATTTCAGAATAAAATATATTGTGAACGCTTGATGAGTTGTTGCATCAATAAGATAAAGTTGTAAATTAATGTGAAGATGTGTTTAAATAAGATGATGAGCCCAAACTATATCTGCTATAAGTGCAAACAACAAAGAAACTGTGATTTATGTGTGTGAAGGAGAGCTTCAGTTTAAAAGAAAATTATTTATTGTTTCTAATCCAAAATAATCTCACCAATTCAGGTTGCCTCGCTAAATAGAGGATGTTTGTTTATATGTATTAATTAAACTCAATATATATATTACTTGTAATAATATAATTGATGAGAATGATATATACTGATAGTAAGTTATGGAGTTTCAACATGCTCATACATGCATGTTCAGTCATTCATGTGATGGGATTAGGCCAAAAAAATGAACAACAGGAATTTCAAACTTCAACTTTGTTTGTCTGAAATGTGGGTCACCACAAAATCACTTTACTACCAACATATATGTGTGGTTAAATTTGTCTTTGCCAGAATTCACTGTAACTGTTTCTATTTACGCTGCATGCTGTTCAATGAAAACATGTCTGTCACACTGCCAGTAATCTGTGACTTCTGATAAAGTTTAAAAAACATAAATAAATAAACCTGAGCCGTTTAGTTTTTTAGTAAAATAATTAATAATAAATATACATATTTTTAAATAACTTGCATTGTTTCTGATAGCATCTGCTCCTCAAGCCAGCATTAGAGCTTAAACCCCTTTTGAATGTGAGAAATGTGTAAATAGTTTTGTATAGGTCTTTAAACGACTCACTAGTTAAACCTGATGAATAATTCATAAATAAACCTCGGACGGGAGCCAGGGGCCATACGAGCACAATGCAGGCGACAGAAACCAGAGGCGAAGGGGAAGGAGGATAAAAACACAGTGTTTCTGTCTTAGGATGAACGGGATATCGGACGTCCCGGCGATGGAAACCCCTTTTCCTGTGATTCGGATCGGGGTTCATTCAGTCACTGACGTGATTGAATCGCGTGTTCAAAGCGTCTCTCGGTCCAACATGAGGCGGAATCTGGCTCTGTCCTGCCCCGCAGAAAAGCCTTTTACAAATGGAGTTGAGCTCCATGACCGAGCAGAAGCCCTAGTGCTGATTCAACCCCTACACACACACACACACACACACACACACACACACACACACACACACACACACACACACAGCAGTCCCTCTGGCCAGGGAAACCAAGCAGACATCAGCTCTGTGGGCTCCCTGTGTCTTTTTCGGCACTTTGGGGTCAGTTATTAACTCGAGAGCATTTGAATTTAATTAACACGTGGAGGCTCGAAATTCACTTCAGCAAAGACGTGGTGGCCGTATACATTTAAGTCAGAATAAACGCGTTCTGTTTGACTATGTGTATTCACAAGAATCACCTAAATTTGAATAATATTAATAGCACAACCAACTTTGGTATTGAGTCTGCTGCCTACACCATTTTTATTTAAATAGCATATTTAATGTGTTGATGGATCTGATATGCTTTAATCACATTTGAATAAGCGTTTAAAAATGCATGGCTTCCGTTTTTACCCTATTGTCCCTTTGATTATTAAATTGCTGTGAAAAAAGGAATATTTTAGAGAATACATAAATAGTCTTTGTGACGCCACGTAAAACCTGCAGCAGCGTTGTGTCCTCCGCGCACAGGCCGCCGTCCCTCCCTCTGTCCCCGTGTCTCTGCAGCGGCATGCCGGGTAAAACCCAGAGGCAGCGCTGTTTCCTCCCCGCTGCTAAAAGCCCCGATCGCAAGGATGGAGGCTCCAACGCACACACACAACCTCAATGTATGTGGAATGGCAGTTTTTTATAGCGTGACGTAAACTGACGGACATCGTCTGGTTAAAATACCTTCATTGTGATTTGTGCTTTTGTATCGCTGCAGTCTAAAGGTTGCATGAACATATCAATATTATGAGTCCATTACCTCTGCACTACTTATTTTAAAGTCGTGAAGGGCGCACCAGACTAGACTAGGGTGTAAAAGTGGCATCCCCATTTGCTGCAATTAAAAAAAATATGATGATGAACGATGATGGAAATAGTGCGACACAAGACGCTCTCGATAGTTCTTTTGTCAATGCTGATTAAACGACGGCCCTTTGTGTATCTCCAAACGCTATTTAGAGTCACAACTGTTGAAGCGCGAAACTGCTTTTGGCTCTTATGCCCGAAAAAAAACCCGTCAAATATTAACCAAGAGGGAAATACAGGAGTGCAGAGAAATTGTTGTCTCTGTAGATCTGTATCTTGTACAAACTCAAAGAGGGAAAAGCACATGTGTCCCACCGAGGAGCGCTCTCGGCTCTGAAGCCGTGAGTTTCTACTTCCAGATGGGGGGGGGGGGGTAAGTAGACTGCGACTCACAGCGGCATGTAAAACTCCGCGTGGAGTAATTTCATTACAGGACACCGCTTGTTTTATAACATGATACAAATTAATTTCCACAAATTCTCACATTTTACACCCCCCCCCCCCCACCTACCCCCCTCTCTAGTCCGGATTGGGGAGACCATGCACCACGCTGGTCGGTTTGATGCACCGGGCCTTGGGATGAGGAGTCCTAAATAATGCTACTGCGATCACCTCGTGACATGTGCCCGGCCCTGCGTGTTTTGTTTACGTGCTTTTATTGAATACTGAAAAGTATCTAATCACTTGCCTTCCGTCAATAGTGTTGGAAACAATTAAACGGATTTATTTGGAAAGGATAATAATGTAATAACAGCTTTTGTAATTGAATCCTTCATTTTAAAAAGGTTTGTTGTTGATGTGCGCCGCAACAATATGACGAGTGAGTGACCTTTTCGGACGGGGTGAGTGGCGGCCCCATACTTTACAGTCCAGAGGTTGAACATAAAAAGGACCTGACATCTTTTATCTGTCTCCCTCTATTTGATTGTCTCCAAGATCAATGCAAAGTGCTGAGCTCAGCGCGGACGTGTCTGTCTGTCAGCATTATCCGTATACGTTTTCACAGATATCATGTTAGCTTCAGTAAACTGTGGGCCCCTTGTAAAAAAACAAACTAGAATACACTGTTTTCGGGCTCGTCTTGATCACGTATACTTTCGTTATTAGAAAGTACCCCCCCCCCCCCCGTCCCCCCCGGGTCCAGCAGCAGCGGCCGAGTCGGGGCCAGACAGCGTGCCGGCCCAGGACCCGCTTATAGACGCCGGGGCCTCGGCCTGGACTTTACACCATGAGTCCCATTAATCGGGAAAACGTTGCGTCAAATCTGGCAGATGAACATTGTGTCTATTTTAGTTGCGCAGTGGTTGGATATTGCGGATGCGTAAATGTCTGCGGTTTGCCTTTCTGTTATTATTGCAGGCTGAGTAGATCTACCACTGCTTCCGTCACACACACACACACACACACACACACACACACACACACACACACACACACACACACACTCCAGGGAAGGGATTCCCTCACGTTTATAGTTCAACTAAAGCGAAGATACTCTCTGAGGTGTAGCTATTTACCATATAGTCATTATAGGCTCTTTTGTTAGTTGAAATAGCCCACAACGTGGATACGCGCTTTGGGGGTCTGAAACAGTTCATCCTCAGGACGAAATCCTTATCTGTGATTTAATTAGAGAGTAGATAGGTCCTATTTCCCTAAATGCCTTTAAACATTTATGAAATCAGTTGCAGAGCAAACGTGACATTTAAGATATTAACGGCAATTTCAATGATGAAACGCAGCTGTGTTCCTAAAGGGAAAAAACCCCTAAAACTCGTCTACAACAAATCATTACCTAACTCCAAAGAAAGATAAATAGTCCATTAATTACACTCAGTTGCGTTTAATGAATGCTCAACAATTAAAATAAAAAAAAGGAAAGGGAAAGTGCTTCAGAAATCCACCGTTCAAGTTTCCATTTTGAGTGCAGTTTTTCTATATATATATATATTTATTTATATATATTCACAACAGAAATCAATGCACGAGAAACCCCAGAAAAGTCCACAAAAATAAATATTCAGTGACTTCAAATTGCATGTAAAAAAAACATGACCTAAAGTATATTGTATCCAAAAAGTGAAGTAAATGAGCGAATGCGGAGGGCGAGGAGGGGAGTGGGCGCGCGCGCTGCTGCGCGAGGCGATCCTTCCATTGATAGCTTCACTCTCAGGGAGCTGCTATTTGTCCCACCGGCGGAAAGACCCCTTCCAACAGGCCGTTACCCACCATCTCCGTCCCTTCGGCCGGGCATTGTGAGCTCCCGCGTTAGAGAGGGCTGCGGCGTCACAGGGTGTGTGTGAGAGGGTGGGAGGTGGGGGGGCAGCATTACCCCGCACTGCGGGCGCAGGCTATTCTGCCTCTTCCTCCGCCGTGCAGCCTATGCTTTTGACATGCGGATTAAAGGTTGAAAGCTTCGCCAGCCACCCCCCTCTCTCTCTCTCTCTCTATCGCCCCCTCCGTGCAACCCCCTCCGCTTTACTGCAAGCCTGCTCCACAGCTTGTGTCACGGCTGCAAAAACAAGTCGGTTTAACAGGCTCATAATATAAGTTCAAGTTTGAATGGGCGCTCCGGCCTCACAACTATAAGGCCCACGGTGAGCTGGAGGAGGAGGTGGTGGGGAGGGGGGGGGGGGGGGCTGCGCGGATGCAGTGGGGCTTTCATCGCGGGGCTAAAACACCTTTTAGTATCCGCACTGATTCAAGCAAAGTAAAAACTCACTTTTTTTTTCTTCCTCTTCAGTATTTTTACAATCGCATATTAAATCGCTTGTACAATCCTGTGAATGAATGCACCCTTTGCTGCTTGCGAGGGGGCTGACATCATTCACGGGCTTTGGGTTTGTTGTGACCTGGCTCGCCATAAGCTGGGCCTCTCTTTGTCGCAGACAGGGGGGGGAAGCCTGCCAATTAGGAGAGCGCTTCCTGCGCAGCCATTAAAAACGTCCACGCGTTTACTTAAAACACCTACGGGTAGGTGCAGCGTCAATGTCTACATTTTGCTCGTGTTAAAGGGGGGGGGGGGGCACTGAGACGTCTGTTGCTGCATTTGGGGAGTAAATTGAGCAGCTCTGGGGCGTAAAGGGGGGGTAGGGTTCTACATTCATAGAGCGGCCATATTCATTAGAGATAATGAGATGGCGACGTGCGTGACAAGAAAGCAACAGGAGAAGACAGTATTGAGGGTGTCCAATACTATGAAGCAATTGACGTTTTTTTTTCTTCTTTTCCAGGTGAGATGAAGATGACTCCAGCTAAGAAGAACAGAACAATGCACAAGCTTGGCTTGGGAAAAGCAGATTATTAAATGATAGAAAAATCAGGAAGACCCATCGTGGCACGTTTCGTTGTTTCAGCGGCACCATTTCATAGGCTGGTCAGAGAACCCTGAAGCTGAAACGGGATCCTCAACAGTATCAAAGTGCAACGCATTTCAGCCTCCCACGAAATGTGTCCACGCTGTTCTGGTGTTGCCCACTTCTCTCCTGGTCCCTCCGGACTGTGACTCCTGAATCCCATCCACATACTTCTTGGACGTTGTTATTATGTCTGTGTTGTCCTCTCTTTTTTTTTTTCGTCCAAATTCATGTTCGTGCTTTAAACGCAAATACAGACTGCCCCTGGCACAAATATGGTGCGCAGGAGAAATGGGTTGCCAAGTGGAATAGGAGAAGTGGGAGGAGGAGGCGAGGGGGCATGAATAGAGTCTGACGTGCTGTAAAGGTCTGAGCCTTATTCTTTTTTTTTGATTGTCTGGACACTGTGTTGTGTATGGGCCGGTGCACAGTCACACAAATGTAAACCAGAAACACTCGGATGCAGTAAAAAAAGAAGACTGGAAAAAAAAAATCAAAAGCACTCTAGGAAAGAAGAGGAAGAAGAAAACAACAGATCCCAAACCACCATGAACGTTCCTGTAAAATATAATAGAGGCTTAACTGTGAGAATGTATATAATAATAATAATCATAATTAAAAAAACAGCATTAAACCAATTTTTAATAATTCTCTGAAACTGATCACTTGGACACATGGGGAAAACACAGCTTTGATATATACAATATACCAGATGGCACAAGATGGGAAATCCTGATTTTTCTTTTCTTTTTGATTAGCCAAGTGAAAACTCTCTCCCAGTTCCAGCTAGATTAAGAGCAGCCTCAGTACTCAAGTTTTTTGTTTGTTTTTGTTCAACACTTTTCCTCTTCCAGACAAAGCACAAACCCACTGAAACCCTGGAACCTACAATCCAACAGGTCGGGAACGGAGAAAATAGTCAAGTAAACACAATAAACGAGAAGCCATTGCGTTTTGAGGATCGATAGCTTATTCAAAACACACGTTTCTCTTTGTTTTTAATATAAGCATGAATCCACGAGCGGTGTCTCGCAGTGCAGTGGGCGTTTTTTTTCGGAGCCTCCAAACGGGTTCTTGTGTGTTTTCGCTCAAAATAAAAAACAAAACAAAGCGGATTGTAAACCCATTCACAACAAAAAAAAATACAAATAATCAGCATTAAAGTTGCGAACTCTCATTGGGACTAAAGATGGGTTGGAGATGGTAACGATGTGGACCTTTGTTTAGTGTGCGTGTTTTTTTTGTTTTTTTGCTTTTAAAAAAACACCTCAGTATTTCCGAGTCCTCTGAGCGAGTGGGGGAGGGAAAATCTGGCCGCCCGGCTGCCACCTCCACACGGGGTGGGACGGAGGGGGAGGCCCGGGGCCCCTCAGGAGCGAGTTCAGGGAGTAAGCGGGGCACAGATCCCCGTCGCTGCCGACGACCAGCGACGGCGGGGAAGGGAAATTCGCAATCAGGCTGAAAGGCGTTTTTGCGGGCGACGCCGCGACGCGTTTGCGTCTGCTCGGTAAATCCTTCGCGGACACCTCCTCGCTGCTCGTGGGACGAGAGCAAGACGGAGAAGGAGACGGGGAAGAGGCGGAGGAAGAGGAGGAAAAAGCAGCCTTGTCGAGCGTTGGTTTTGATTGCGTCCTGGGAACGCGAGGTTTCTTATTCCCGTGCACCCTGACCCTGCAGTTTTTGTTCCCCCCCTCCACGAGGCGCGGGTTGTCCTGCGCGCTCTTGTGCTCATGGGCGATGGGGGCCACGCCGGGGCTCTTCTCTGTGGCTTTAATCCCGCTGTGGAAAAAGTCCCCGTGTTTCACGGGATACGGGCCGCCGGTGCTTTCGGTCCCGTCTCCTCTACCGTCGACCGGAGTGGCCTGGCTCTGGCATTCGTATTCATCACAGCTCTCCTCCACTTTAACTTTCACGTTGTGGAGGTTGAAGGGCGGTGTCCTGGCCACCCGGCCCCCGTTGTCTGAGCAGGGGACGCCGGTCACGCAAAGCTCCTCCGGCTCGGTCTTTATTTTTTTCGGCGGAGAGGACGGGTTGAGGCTGCTCGCTCTCGCCTCCCTTTTGTCGCCACATCCGCGAACCGAGGCGTCTTTTACCCGGTCCCACTGCAGCCTCAGCCCCGGGTGATACACCGGTGTCCCGCAGGAGGGGTCACACGCCTTGTACCGGCCGGGTCCCCGCGAAAAAGGGGCCGGCTCGTCCACGCGTTCGACCCTGTTTGCATCCGCCTCAAACGGCGTTTCCCGTTTGGACTCGGCGAACAACCTCTCCCCCACCACGGGGGCGTGAAATTTGGGTGGCTGTAAGGGTACAAAGTCCCGTCTAGTTTGCAGGCGCTTGAACTCGCACTTCTGTGCGCCGTCGCCGGTCTGCGTTGCGGCTGCATGGCCCGTGGTCCTGAGCGCTCTCCCCGGTGGATGCTGGTTGTTGTAGTGAAACGTCGGCTGCAGGACCAGAGGCGCCTTGCCAGCGTTGAGACCTTTGAGGACGGAACCCACCCTGGCCCGTCTGAACCGAATGCTCTGGACCGAAACGCGGCTGCACACGGAGCTCGAGTCGGACTGAGAGGAGCTCTCCTCCTCCTCCTCCTCCTCGTCCGTGCTGACCTCTGAACTCTCCGACTGCGTGTCATCGTCGTCCTCGCCCCCCTCTTCCTCCTCGGAGCTCGCGGAGTTGCTGGTGCTGGAGAGGCCGGAGCCGAAGTCAGAGTCCGGGTACGCCCGGTCCGAGTAGGTGCTGGACTCGGTGTCGCTACTGCAGCTTTCCGGGAATCCCGGCTGGTGGTGGTGGTGGTGGTGGTGATGGTGGTGCTGGTGGTGGTGGTGGTGGTGCGGTCTAGCGTCGAGGTACAAATCTGGACCGAGGTGGAAAGAAGCGAAAGAGGTCCCGTGACTTCCGGGTGATTTGGGTTGTACGAGCAGCACCGGCGGGACGTGGTGGTGCGCGTGTCTGCTCCTGCTCCCCTCGCGCCTCCTCTTCCTTTTGGGAAGTAGGTCGATGGCTGAGCGCCTGGACTGAGCGGTGATGGCGGAATGACGCACGGCCGGCTGCCGGCTGAACGCGCTGCGGAAAATCGATTGCCTTTGGCTCAGAGTCACGCGGTTCCCTTCTATTTTCGCGGTTTCGTAGTTTTTAAAGTGTTTGTGACTGGACTTGGTCGCCGACCGGCACTCCTGCCCGGTGGGTTTGTTGTAAAATTGAGGTAGTTTGGAGTCGGCGAGGCGAGGCGTCAGCTCTCTCCCCCTGCCCGTTTGGTTGTGGAGCGTCAGCGTGTCCGGGACGCCGTGCAAACTAAACAAAACTTTTTCCTTCCACAGTTCGGCGTCGGCACCGAGGAGTCCCGGGGACGCGCTCTCGTCCCCGGGGGAACACGCCGCTTTCGCTTTCCTTTTGTTGGACTTCAACACCCGCTCCGTCTTGCAGGAGAAATACAGAGCCTCCACGTCCTCCCGCGATATCAGAGTGCACTTAGCCGCGTGGAAAGCTATAGAGTGTATTGCTTTGAGCTTCCGCAGCTCCTCCAGGTCACAGTGGTGCTTCTTCACCTTCAGGTGGTCCATGCGCTTGTGCACCGTGGTCCTGGGGATGTTCTTCAGCAGGTCGGTGAAAACCTGAGACAAAGCAAACATTTGCTTGCCTCTGATGAGCAGGTAGCCCAATTTCACTCCTTGCATTTCCTCAAAGCCACACTCCAGGTCTCCCATGTTTATGTATCCGCTCAAATGTATCAATCCATGTAGTCGCTGTCAGTGTGTTGAGGCTTTACCAGTAAATGGCACGGGCTCCAGAGTTTAAGGCACCCTGCTCATACCTTTAATCCATCCACGCTGCATGCTGCTGCGTCATGAAAAGGCAAACTTTGACATGCAAGACTTAAATGGAGCTGCCGGTGTCTAATAGGCTGACTGAGCTGACAGCATCCACCCGTCGCCTCTCGCCCCAGTTCGGCATGATGGAGGAATGCGGCCCGATGCGTCCACCAAGCCGGGGCTGCTGCTGCTACCTGCCTCTGCCGGCTCCACTCCCCTCTGGTCGGCAGCAGGACGAGGGGTAGGTGTACACCACTGCCTCAGCCAGAGGGATAAAATAGCGAGAAGAGAGAGAGAGAGAGAGAGGGAGAAGGGGAGGGAGGGAGGGAGAGGGAGTCGTGGGTAGGAGGGGAGGGAGATAGAGAGAGAGAGTCAGAGAGAAACAGAATAAGAGCTAAAATGCAGCTGCTATTCCGGCCGCTGGTTAAGCCACAAATAAAAACGACACAGAGGGGAGGTGCGCCAGTCTGGAGACACCTTCATCAATTAATGCCCTCGGAGGCGACGCCCATTGGATGAAGCTGACAGGTGATGCAATAAAAATGGATATTCCATCCCCACCCTCTCACACACCCATGCTGCCACAATAGTTTACACACATACATACACACACACACACACACACACGCGCGCTGCTGTTTAGGAGTAAATAATGCAGCTGACAAGTTCACATTTCATAAAAAATCCTCCCCGTTCCACAGGGAATGAGCAAAAACCTGAGCCTGCGAATTGTCACGATAAGACCGGAATGCATTTATTGTTCCATTCACTTTGGGTCCATATCAAAATGCACGCGGGCAATAGTCAATATGCAATCGATTGTATGCTGGTAAAATGACTTGACACGTTTGGTATTTAAGGCATTTCGGGGTGTGTGTGTGTGTGTGTGTGTGTGTGTATGAACGCAGTGGATCTTAAACAAAGGCATTTGTTTTTTTTACAATAAGAGAGCTGCTTTTCCACGTTAAGGCTGCTCCTCTGACCAAGGCTCCACTCATCTGCTTTTGTTGGTTCTATCCTTCTGTCCATTTTCTTTCCCCTCGCTGGTATACTGCATGTGGACTTACTCATCCGTCATAGTACCGAGATATTTTCATTTGTATGACTATAACTTAAAAACGTCATCGACATTTCCAACGTTCTTAATACCTCTTTTGCCTTTACGACACGTGTGTGTGTGTGTGTGTGTGTGTGTGTGTGTGTGTGTGTGTGTGGTTGGATACGTGCTGATAAGCAGGGTGTAGCCATTGGAGCGGGCAATTGTTACTAATTGATGACCAAAATATACATTAGCGTAAAATAGCAGACATCATATTTATTATATTACTGGTAACCGTGTTAAATTGTAGCCTGTGTTAATCCCAGTAAAACAACGCGCACGCGATTGTAGAAGCTGAAAGTGCAGAGTCAGGGTTGCTTTTCCCTCAATATTTTCCTAGACAATATAGGTAAATGCTGCTAATAAACAATTCTATTTAGATCTCCGTTTTTTCTTTGTAACGGGACGTTAAAGCAGCCTACGATATATTATATAAATATACAATTACGATTATAGGTCTGTTAGAACACAAGTGAGAACTATGCTATTGTGGTAACAATATCTCACATTTGGAACCAATGTGGGGTCGCAGGTGACCCCACAGCGGATTTGTATGTCACCCACACATCTCCGTATTTTCCCATTTTTGCCTACGCGCACATGCTCCTTGCATGCGCGCACTATACCATACCCGCAGAGATTTTTTCACGGAACATGCGCACGTGCACACGTACGGAGAAAGGACGCACACACTCACAGACAGATGCGCAGAAAAGGCGCACACGAGCCTATAAGCCACCACCCATAACGGTCTCCAAATAATTAATATAATGACACTGCGTATTATACAAGCCGGTTGTCAGAATCACCGGTTGGCCTTCAAAAGGGATGTTTGGACCGGCTATTGCGTTTCCCCCTGAGCCATATTTTTTCTCAAAGCTCCCCGCGTTATGTTCCGTCTTTGTTATCAAACACGTGAATCCCTTGTGGCCCGTTCCTCATGGGGCCATACACTCAAGACTGAGCATGCTCCTTTCCACAACGTTACACCCATTTGCCAGTTCTCACAGAGCATTCCCTGTTTTCAGATTAACACATCGACGTTACCTTGTTACAATAAAACTGCTGGTTGTACACGTACAGGCGCTGTTATTGTAGCTCCTCGTCAAACCGCCGAATGGGATTGGAACGCGTACACAAAATCCACGCAGTATCGGGTCGGACCGACTGAGGTGGTGGTCACGGATTTACAGACAACACGACGAGGAAAGTGTGTGTGTGTGTGTGTGTGTGTCTATCAATATATGTACATGCACACAGACACGCACACACCCCTAGCTGTCTGCAGGTATATCGTTGCGCGTAGCTGGGCACAAGCGTGCCAAATGGATCGTTTGGGTCATTTGAAAAGGAAGTCCGGGGACTATGTTTTAACGGACGCATTGGTCGAACGTATTTTGGGAAATGACTAGCAGAGATGACTATAAATTATATTAAAGTAGGTAGTCGTCGATAGTTGCGTTTATATCCGTCAGGGTAACTTGCAGGAAGCTGTTATGCACCGCAAAACTCGTGGTCATTTTGGGTTCGGTTCACGGTTGCAGTTGAAACACATGCGGGTTCATGCCTGTGTGTGTGCGCGCACGCTTCCGTGCAGTGGAGCTATGCAATAAACGCTGCACATTCCCCTTACCAATCAGTAAAACCCTGTTCAACTCCCGAAACCCTCACCAGCATTCTCGCTTTTCACGTGCTGGTTGAGGAGGCCTATGACAGCGTGCGTGCACGGGGAGTACGGAGGACTTTCACGGATGCAGCAGAGTGAAGTGAGAGGGGGGGGGTCGGCAGCGTGTTGAGGGTCCGGATCCCACGGGGACGGTGCACCGGGTCCGGGAGATGCAGGACTGTCCAGGCTGGTTTCATCCCACGTCACGTCTATGCTTCTCTCTTGTTTAACCAAAATACTTAAAAAATAATACTTGTTTTTTTTTTTACCGGATTGTATGCAAATACTCTGGTGGATGTTGACGATTTGAAACAACGTAATCTACTGACCTAATGTGGTTCACATCCTGACCCTCCAGGCGCCCTTTATAGTGCATAATTGCCCTAATAACATTAATGCACCCTTTACCACGATATAATGCAACTGCACAGCAATTGAGGACGCTTGTTTGAGTTTATTAGGCCACTGCGACGTGGATCAATCAACACTTTAACAACACATGTTTTTAACACATCATTTCTCCGTGATTGGCACGTAGTCTATTGTTGATGTTCAAACCTTTCAGGGTTAAACGTAAATAAATGTTTAGAACTATAAAAACATGCATGGCAATAATGATAATTATTATTATTTATATTGTTATTTGTATAATTATTAGAATATTTATTTCTTATTTAAAAAAAATTCTGTCTGTATCAGGATCAATTCTCCATAACATCTGCCAGTGAAGTCTCTCCCACACCGGTGCTACAGACGTGTCTGTAGCACCGGTCTACAGAAGTGCCCCATGATGACACCGTGGTTTTTAAATTGGAGCTCTCAGTTCATCCCAAATTCTGAATTGGGGGTCATGTTAAATAACCTTAAAAAAAATACAATATTGCGATAATTACAACATTGTGTATAAATATATATACACAAATATCTCTATATATTTCCAATTGAGAATTGAGACCAGGGACGCTTTGTTGTGCAGATTGTGTGATGCACACACGGGGCACTTTATTCCTCCCTCTCCTGCGCCTGGATGTTGGTCGGGACTGGAGGGGAGGAGACGAGACCGAGTGGCCGAGAGAGAGACTTCGGGCCCGGGGGAGGTTTCTTTCAGCAGCCCGAAACTTCGCTTAGCAGACTCATTCCACTTCTGCAAAGACGGGACGTGTTTTGAGGCGAGTAACAAAAGGAGAGGAAGCTCTGCAACTCACGTTAATCCGTAGCAAATGTTTAGGGCATGGAGTTGAGCCTATACGCATTGAGATGCTTTACATGAAAACTTATATTTTAGTTTAAAGGTCAATACACATGCTGGATGTTCGCCTCGCGACCGCCGCTTTTGCAACTTTATTTTTACAACTACATCCGCGTGGAAGAGCCGTTTAATGGAGGGGGTGTTGGCGGATTACGGTAAAGACCCCGCGTACACAAACACGCACGCGCGCGTACATGATCAATGAACACACGTGACCAGCGTTTTTCAAAATCTAAACTACATTTCTAGCAGGGGTTAAATTATTTTACAAACTCCGAGTTTGGCCGTGCAGGGACACGCGGAATGTCTCCAAGCACCGTTTATAGAACACGCGGAAACCGTGTTAGTGGGACGAGGCAACGTGCAAACCGGTTCATTTGGACGGATTTGTAACTTTTTATAAACTCCCAGGTCATAAAAATATTTAAAAAAAAGAAAGAAAAAGCGAAGAGCCATCAAAGCGAACGTGTCGCTCCTGCAGCTCCGAGTCATTTGTTGCGCGTCGAGTTTTTTATGGAGACACTTTGGTCAAGGAGGCGCAGGCACTTGTAGAGCATAGACCTTTTATGACACAAACCTATGGCCAAACAATGAATTCCTCTCCACCCCCGGGAGAATGTGATTTTACATGCAATCCGAGCCTGAAGTGTGTGCGGACAGTGGTGGGGGGAGGGCTTCTCTCTCACCTTTCACCCCGCCGTGTTTGTGTGTGTGTGTGTGTGTGTGTGTTAGTTCCTGGGCCCCATGTGCTATACTCGCCGATCAGAGAAGAGACCGTGGTTAAATACTGATGGGTCTGAATGCGGTGTGACCGTGGTGTGAACGTTATGGCTCGGGAGTGCTGAGTTCAATTCTGCGGCTCGGGTCAATTCGGTGTTTGCAAACTTTCATTTCACACTTTCCCACACAGGGGATCCCGGCGGCGGAGGAGAAAATACCTCACGTTCCTATTGGAATAGCTGATGGATATTTTCAGAAAACGGTTTCCGATTTGTCCCACGCATCACATCAAAAAAGATACGACGTGCTGAACAATTGTAAACACTTTTTATTTATATGTGACACGGCTCGGAATACATGGTCTGGAAAACCTTTACAGCTTGGATTACGTTTACCTGATAAAACTGCAATACACTTAAAGAAAGACATAGAGCATCAGCCCAGGAAATTACATACAAATACAAATGAATATATCTATACAGCCGCGTTTATGCCCTGTAATTGAATGCCCAAATAAATATCTAGCTCTAATTTAATGATGTTTTTATTGTGGTTGGTGCTTAAGAACAATCTTCAATAAAATGTCTTATCTCTGTTAATGTATAGATATGATTTCAAGGATGTTAGAAAAGGGACAAAGAACTTGTGTGTGTGCTGCTTACTCGCTGCTTTGTCTATGAAACAATGTCTCCATTGTTTTAATTTAAATACGCTGAGTTGGGCTTTATAGAAATAAGGGATAAAACATCTCACAGTTTATATTCTCTTGAAAAATGTGACACCTTTTATTTTGTGGAACAAAACTAGTTGACCACTTACATGACACCATGAGAAACAGTCCTCATTGACTTGAAAAGAAACATGTGGCATCAGTTTGAGAATCACTTCAAAATAAAAGTCCTAGCTGTCAATAGTCGTTTGTTGAAGCTTATGAGTTAAGTCTGTGACAAAATTCCTCACATGCTAAAGTTTTCTGCACAGTTCCACAGCCACACACACACACACACACACACACACACACACACACACACACACACACACACACACACACACACACACACACACACACACACACACGTAATGTTTCAGAAAAGAATTTAGATTTTATTACTGGTTAAATGTTTCTTACAAATTATTCTCTCCTGGGTCTCTGAGAATGTTTAAATATAAAAAAATCGTAAGCGTTTATAGAGATTCCGTAGGGAAGGCAATCTATAGAGCAGTAGCCATTAGACAAAATGTTCAACATTTATTAATGTGCCATTATTAGAAGCAGCTAATGGTGCTGTTCAATGTTGTGTTTTCTCCCAGTGTGTTATAAACGTTCCCTATAATACACCACCAAACCATGACAATTCAAAAAGATAAATAAGAGTTTAAAAAGTATAACCATGTGCAAGAGGGTTAATCAAACCCTTCTGTCACAATCGTTTGGATATGGTTCTCTGAAAAGCTTATATACTGCAAAATGGGATGAATAACACAATCAGGTAGGCTGTTGTTTCTACCACTCTACGTTTTTTCCTCGTTTAGCTCAAACTTTACCACCATATTGTGCAAGTGAAATAAGCAGCTATACCTTTGACAATATACAACATTGTTTGCAAACCGTGGTATAAATCCTGCTCTAAAACGGCATGCTTCTTTGGTGGGTAAAATCTTATGTGACAAATTAATATGTTTTTCCAAACAGAACAAGGTCTGTTGCAGAAATGCTTGCGCAGCATGTTTAGATCTGCATCCAAGTACCAACTCAATGTACAGTATGAGCTTGGTTATAATTACAGATTGCCTTCAATCATATAAAACCTTGGAGGACTGAGGTCACAAATAGTTGTTGGAATCTGTGTCGCCGTGATTTTTTTGTCTTCTCTAACATCTCCAGCAACAGAGCGTGGTTCGTACAGACTTTGACTTTATCAAGTGCAAGTTGTAAAAAAATAATTTGCCATTTTCAGTGTGTCAGTAGCTATATGGGCCCCTCCGCAACCGCTGCCCACTCCTCTTGCCTCCCTTTGTTCTCTCCCGCTCTAATAGGTTTTCCCCTGCCACACACAATTCACTTTTTTTTTTCTCCTCTTCCCAAGCTCCCCATCCCTCCCACACCCCCTTTTAGTGCAGTGCCCAGTGTCGACTGGAGCATTTGAGCAATTTGAAATTAAAGCAAACAATGGGCAGGCACTCCCAGGGACCTCTCGCTCACCATATTACACGGAGGACGCTCGTGTGCTCTCGCGCATTATTGGCAAGTCATTACGTTTCTCTGGAAACCAAGAGCGGGCGCTTGCTCAGAGGAATCGGTGATGCAAGCAGCAGCTGAGTGCTTGGAATAGCATTCGTGTGTGCTAGTGTGTGTGTGTGTGTGTGTGCGCGTGTTCTGGAGCCTCCTTGGCAACAGGATGAAGATGCTGTCAAAACAAAACTGCATATTGACAAGTCTGATACGCATCCTGATATAGGATTCCCCAAGCCCATTTAGTAATTTTTGAAAGATAAAAAGGGTATTCATTCTTGAAATGATAAGCCATGGAAATAGCGGTCTCTCAAGGCCACCGGCTCTACGCTCACTCGCCCTATAAATATTCTTCCAAAATTCTAAATCATGACGAAGTCGCTCGTTGAAAGACAGAACATATTTCAGTTACTTGAAAATGACCAATTCCAGCCAGCGGCTGTTGATAGAGGTGTAAATTATGATTGTCTCTCATTAAAGAAATTGTAATCAAAATTCCTCACAACCATTAGTTGTCAATGACTTCAAAACTGTTAAAACTGGTATTTTAAAGCTGCTGTTTGTAAGATAGTTATGAATGTTTTCTTTCATAAATCTGTTTTGATGCTGTATTAAATGACTTAAGTAAGATGCAACAACACACTACAAGCGTTATGGATGCTTGAGCATTAGTTTAAAAAAAGAAGGAGTTATTACGCCTTGAGCCCTTAGTAATGTTATAAGGATGCAAGGCTTCTCACAGGAAAGCATACAGCAAAGCTCTAAAGGAGGAAATCCCATAGAGAGGGAAAACAGCTGTCCAGACAACCACTGCAACAACTCAAATATGGGAATTAGTTTAGTCCGCTTTAACCATCGAAACAGAGGTGTGTACTCAATTCATTTAGGCCTCCACAAATACTTACATACTTACATTAGATTCATGCAGTTTTTGTTTATTTGTTTAGTCAATGAGATTGTCACACTAACCCTTGTTTACTTTCTCAAGAATATTGAAAAAAAATCAATAAAATTCTCATTAAAATCTCAACATATTGGTCCAAAATACGACAACTAAATAGTAAAACTAGAATGGGGCGCTCGGTGGAGCGCATATGTCCACCAGGTGTTTCTGCGACAACCGCTGCTGTGGCATTTGATAAATGAATACAACACTCGATTGGCGAACCTTCCGTCAGATGTGCTTTTCATTCGCACGTCTGCAGGTCTGCACTCAGCCGTGTTTGTGTATTGGTAGTTTCGTCAGCTGTCAGTCAAAACAATTAAATAGTAAATCACGGCAATGCCCACTCAGCTTTGTGATCCCTCGCAGCTCCTACTGGCCAGTTAAAAGTAGCGAGTCAGCAGTTATTTGGTGTTGGTATCAAACAGGTGATGCATTTTTTTATAGTAAGTGTGAGTTATATGTGCCTCACACAGGGCCTCTACAGGGCAGCACAATGTTCATCCTCACTGTCCTGTTTGAAAGGCGCGGAGGTGGAATAGAACATCCTTAAATTAATAACACACTATGTAAGGGTTAAAGGTCCCCAACACGGACAATCCCAAGACAGGTCAACATTGTGGCAGTGACCTGTCAATCACAGCCCTCATGAAGAATGAATGAAGAGTATCCTGTATTATGTTCCTAATTTGACATATCAAAATAATGCAACTAAGCAATCCAACTCCCATTTGAGCAACTATGCAAAACAAAAAAGCAAACATGATTCTCATGCTAAAGTGAAACATGACAACTTCAATCTATTGAGATATTAACATTTCTATTCTATAAATTCGACATTATTCCTTTGTATTCCTTTGCATCGACTTACCGCGTATTTGCCAACCTCCATGTTACATTGTTGGGACTGAGGACGCTTGAGTGCAGACTCTTTGCAACAAAACTTTCAAACCGACTATCGTACTTCCTGCCAGAGAGCACACGCGCACACACACGCCCATTGCGTCATTACGCACTTCCGGTTCTCTTCGAAGAGTCCCTCCCCTCCTCTCTGCCCCCCCTCCCCCTCTCCTGCTCACCGTCGCGCCGTGGAGTGGATGTTTTGGTGAACAAAAATACGGTGTCGAAAGGGGACGTAAAAACATTCAAAACATGACATTTCGAGCGAGCGGGACCTGAAGCGACCGAGCGCGCGGGGCAGCGGAGGGTCCTTCGGCGGAGGTTTCGGTTTACTTTTTTTTTGTGTTGCCTCGTATCCCTCCGCATGTCCGCTTTCTTCGTAGATGGTCTCCAGCGAGCGTTGTCTGGCGGCGGACGACAAGTTGCCAAGGAAGAAGAATAATATGAAGGAGATGATCGGCGGCTGCTGTGTTTGCTCCGATGAGAGAGGCTGGGCCGAGAACCCGCTGGTGTACTGCGACGGACACGGCTGCAACGTGGCCGTGCATCAAGGTAAAGGCGACGGGCTCCGCGAGACGCGGCTAAAGCGGCTAGCTGGTTAGCTCCCGGGCTAGCTAGCGTAGTGTTGTTTCGCAAGGTTACGAGGCGCTCCGTGCGCGAGCCTCCGCCTGCCCTTCGACCAAGGCCGGGGACGGTTTGGTCCGGTTACCCCCCCCCCCCCCTCCTCCTCCTCGACTCGTTGCGTATTTTTAGTTCCCAAAATATAGATATGTGTGTAAACTTCGCCGCGCTAGTTGACTCGACTGAATAACCGCACGAACCGCACGCGGCGTGGACAAGAGAGACTCGACTGCCTGCCACATCTGGAGCGCAGGAGTTTGGTAAAACAGTTCAGACTAGACGACGAGCCGCGGAGCTTCTGGTGTTGTTGCAGCGGTGCGGAGCGGAGACGCGGCTCACCCGAAATGACTCAAAGACGATGACGTCCACTGTTTACTAAGTTAACAGCTGGCCATGTGTCGATCTGCCAACGCGGGGAACTATTTGACGTGTCAGCGTTTCTGAGCCGTGACGCGTCTCAATGCATTCGCACTTGTCTCGCAACAATTTGTCTATGCATAGTGGTTGTGACAGGATGGAGTCAGTTATCCAGCTGTTGCATATGTTGCCCAGCCAGATCTAGTCCAAACGAAAGGAAAAGCACTGGCCCACTCCGGCTAATGTCTATTCTATCATTCCATATACCAGTTTTGCATGAAGGACCAGGGTCTCTGTAGACATTTGGCTTTTAACCTTTGTGTTTGGAGTTTTGGCCACTGCCATCTTGGATTTGGTCCTGGAAAACCCACCTTGTGATTTGTAAAGGGTCCAAAACCCTGACCAGTCCCAGACGAGACAATGCAATGGTAGTGCCCTGTCAATCACAAGGAAAGCAAACCCTTTTTTATTGTTTAGTTTACTCTAAATTGATTTATATTTCACTACATGAACATTATGCCGTATTGGTCCCAATTTGGTCCCAATTGGTGGTTTACAATGTTTACTGGGTTAATGAATGCCCGACTCATTCGCATAGCCCTGGAGCCCACAGTAAACTCTTCATTTGTATATTCAAAGTTCGTTGATATTCAAAAAATTGCACCAACTTCATAAGTACAATTAAAACAATGTATAATTTCAATAGAAAAAGGCTTGTATGGATCGTTTCTTGTGGCGACTGTGGCCCAATGATAGCGGGTTATCTTTAATTTGAGGATCGGCTGTTTGGTTCCCTGGCTCCGGCCCGCGCTGTCGATGGGTCTTTGGGCAAGCAGACGTTACCACCACAATTGCTCCTGAATGCTGTGCACTGACTGTACAAATGGTTAGATATTCCCGATGGGCAGGCGGCACCATGCACCACAGAACCGTTGAACGCCAGGCGTTGACCCTCAGTTGTCTCAATGGACTCTGAGAACATGCCAGAGTTTGTCTTTCTACACAGCTGTGCCTGAATCACGTTGTTTGTTTAAATGAGGCATTTTTGTCAGAAAAGATTAACCAGCGGCATTCAACATTTTCAAATGAGTGAATAATAATTATGAGCGCCCTTTTAAGTTTGAATAATTTGGATATCTTGTCAAAACAGTTTATTTAATCCAGAGGTGCTTCTTTAGAAATAGAGCCAGGCAAGACTGAGTGCTTCACTGCGACTGGGAGAGTGTCCAAATTTCTCAATAGATACTAAAACTAAACAAATTGTAGCACTTAAGTCCTTGATGATTTAAAAAAAAAACTCCTATGGATCTTCAGAATGATAACATTTGTTTAAAGTTCCTGTCAAATTCATAGCTCTCGTCTTTTAGGTCTCATTTAAAGCATTTCCACAGCCGACGTGCCGTTGGTTCGCATGAATACAGACACAAATTGCACATTTTAAAGTGACTTAAAATGGCCAGCCATAATTGATAAAATTGGCAGTGTTTGCAGAATATCCTGTCCAACTTCTACTTGTTCTGTCTTGTCTAAAGTTTCGTCATTCAGAGTAACGTTAGGGTGTTTGGTTCATAGAAGCTTGGGTTAAAGCTGTTTACTCAGTTGGATTATGGGCTCCGATCAGAGATAATCTGAAAATGTGTAGACGTAGGCTGTTTAGCATAGTGCTTCTGTATTTAGTTCAGCACTGCAACTTGACATCTGAGTCGCGTAGTAACCGTCAGTGAAACAGAGTTATACCTCAAGGTGAAAGAAGTCAGTGAGATTCCGACATTTCAGTTCAGGTGTCAGAGTATTGATATTTGACAAGAACCTATGACAGTAAACGCACATCAATCCGCTCCAACCAGGTTCATGCAACGAGGAAGAAAAGTAGAAAGAATGTCACATTTTGAGTATGGTTTAATCTCTAAAATATAGCTCTCAACCTACCTTTTGACTTCAGTATAGAATTGCGTAGAGGAGGTTGAGTCGAACGTTTGAAAGGGGCCACATTTTAAAATAAGGTGTCGCGCACTCTGCGACATCCACGAAAGGATGAGACATTCATCACGGATGCCCGTACGCGTGCCGACGTTACCGATGCATCACCGGTGCGTCTGCCTCGGTACCCTGGGGCCGCCGAGGTTTTGTAGTGCAGACGAACCATGTCAGCTGTCAGTAGAGTTTGATGTAGTAACAACGGCAGTGTGTTCACCAGCCTGTCACTTTAAAAGGCTCCTCGCTTCTGCGTTCAAACCAGTTTAGTCTTAAATTCACCGTCTTGGCACTTGAAAAAAAAAATGGTTGCGTAAGATCCTGTGATATCTTAAAGATTTGATCAAGTGCAGTCAGGTCTGGTGTGGTTTCATTATCGCTCTGCTCAAAAGTCTTCTGTGGTATGAGATGTAGCCTCTTTGTTGAGGTTATGATGACTAAATCAAACGCCCCTCTCCCCTCCGTTTCTCCTCAGCCTGCTACGGCATCGTGCAGGTGCCCACTGGTCCCTGGTTCTGCAGAAAGTGTGAATCTCAGGAGCGAGCGGCCCGTGTGGTGAGTCCCACAATCTATCCATTCATCATTCACGAGTAAACTCCTGGAATAACAGTCGGCCCAAGATGGTGGACCAGGTGCTGCAGCGCAGCGCTATCATTGTAAATGCAGGGCTCCAGACTAACTTTTTACAAGGAGCACAGTGGCCCCTAACTTAAAATTTTAGGGGCGCAAGCAGAAAATTTAGGGGCACACACTATAAATCGACTTGCTAAGTTGTCCCATAATTTTTACTGTATTACTGACAAATAATTTGACAATATACAATCTTATAAACTTGTGCAATAGTTTTAATAACATACACCAGTTACACAACTTAAAAATACAAAATTAATATTCATGCTGCACTGACAACAACAGAACAAGTTGTAGACATAACTCGTGCATTAACCCTTCCTATAAACAATCACCCCTTGGTGAGGGATAAGGTGCCTGTGTTTATGTTTCTGACTGGCGTTGTTTGATCAGCGTGTCGTGTTTTAATTGTGTAGTGACAGTCTTAATGTCGTGTTCCCCGCATGTTGTGGGTATCGAGAGCAGCATTTGCAGTTCATTGAGTTGGTCTCCCTGAAATACCTCAGCCAGGTGAACTCGCGAAAGCTGAATTTCTTGCCTTTTTTCGCCACGACCGTTTCCTCACAATCTGAGTCGGACACATAGTCCGCTTTGCCATTTTTTACAGGAGACACCGCTATGTAAAATCTGTCGATTCTCGCAATAACCCCCAAGACGCGTCTCTTTTCACACATTAAGGCTGGCGCATGCTTCTGCGTTTGCGTTTGCGTCTGCGTCGTTGCGTCGACGCACTCGTTTCAATTCATGGTTCTGCGTGTGTTGCAGAGCAATTCTGCGTGTGAGTGACGTGTTTTGTTGAAGACGACCTAGAGAGTCGCGTCTGTTTATTTATTTATTTATCATAGACTTTATTGCCCCGTGCATCGCCACTGCTGCTTTTCATCGCAGACACATTTGTCCCGTATTTTCCTCCACAACTTTGTGCACCTCACAAAAGTTCTTAAATCTGATCCGTCCTCTCGTAAACATTCCTCGTTTTAATAATGGCGGTATCGGGCTATGAAAGCGGAAATGTGAGACTCCGTAAAGGACGTAGTTAGTGGACCAATCGCAGCCTGGTGCGCTGCGATTGGCCAACCCCCTCCCCTCCCCGCTCTCACACGTTTCTGTTTTAGTCTCCTTTCTTCTTCTGGAGTTAATGTCGGTGAGCAAACCAGTCGTTCAGGTATTACCGCTAACTATAGTGGGCTGAAGTGTAGAACAAGTTTGTCAGCAACAAGAATATTTTATAACTAAAAAAACAAACGGCTAATTTACTGGTCGTGGATGCACGAGTAGATGAAAAATGTACTGTGTCTAATTTTAGGCGCAAAATGCGACCATTTGGTCGCCCGATACCGCCATTGAGAGTCAATGCCGTTTTGACTACGGCTGTTTTGCCCATGTGAGCAGCCACAAAGAGAAGGGGTCTGATATGAAAACACACAATCCTCCTTTCTACCGTTTGGTTTGGCGTACTTACAGTTTAGCTTCGGAAACTCCCATGTCATGTTTTTAAAGATAATTCCAATCGACTGCTCGGGGACAAAAAATCTATTTCTCCACAAAAATGAATGTAAATGACATGCACGGTGTTGTGGGGGAGCAGTTTTGTTTGTGTTTATATGACAGAACTATTTATTAATATTTGAATATACAACAATCTCAAATTATGCTCAGCGTAAGTGGTAGGTGAGAGACATTGGCGTACTGCCCAGCCTCTCCGTCCGTGTGACTGGAACTACGCGTGTAGCCACAGTGTAGCAGCTCAGATCTCACTTACACTTGAAGACATTAGATATAATTGTATGAGAGGTAAACAATCCCACAACATTTCTTCTGATTTTTTGCATAGAGCTGTCCGTCCTCAGACTACATTCATGCTAGACCGTTTTTTGTGTCAAAAGGCGTATCTTTCGCTTTCGCTTGTTTATGTCCGGCGCCACGTTGGTCTGATAAGTTTCACGGAAAAAGCAGATTTGGGAACCTTTTTGTAAAAGGGATGATCGAGACGCCCGTGTGTTTGCTGCTGTCAGCAGTCACAACTTCTCCTTCGCCGATATTACACGCTGCTGGAAGAAAACCAACATCAGCCGTGATTACCGATCGACTACCAGTGGTTAATTTAACTGGAAGAATCGATTACGGGCACTGCTGATACTGTTGTCTACACCCGCAGCTTGGCCGCACTCCGGCACTGTCAGCGCCACGGGGCAGACATTTAGTCATGGTTTGTGGCTTTGAGGAGGGTGATCAACACGAAAATGAGGACGTGCCTTATTTCCTTAAATTCATTTGTTCTGCTAAAAATGAAATTTACAACTGAAACCGAGAAAAAAACAAAACAAAATGATTGCAAGATTGTTCTCCAAAAAAACATCACATGAACCAAGTACTTGACGATGGTTTCTGAGGTGCAGACATTTTATTATCATAATAGTTGTAGTTTTGAGCACATGGGATCAAGGTTCCCCCCTGAAGTATCGTGCACTATTGCCAAAAGAAATCTCTTCACTTTTGAAAGTAAGTTTTCCAGAATTCTACTCAGACCACAAAACATTTCCTTTCCAAGGAAAATTATCTTCTCTGGTGGAAGAGCAGGGCAACTAAGAATGAACCGTATTGTATTTAAATAGCAGCGCTGTTTAACTTGAGACGTAAGCTGTTTCATCCCGTGTCTGTGCAGCTCGGCACGCGTCGATGTAACTGAATGAATCCTGCCGCAGGTCCGCGCTGACCTGCCTCTTTTTGCCCTTTTTGACCTTTAGCCCGCATCTGTTCTCCGCTCCAGTTACCGTCATATTTCACCAAATTAAATGTTTTAATCCGGATTGAAAAGCTTAATAAAAGAGTACTCTTAGAGTACAATTTGTGCGCGTGCGGCATGCTGTTGGCAAACATTAAGCAATCTAGTCTCCGTCGTAACGGGCGCGTGAAAGTGTAACCGGCCGGCTGACCTCTGAATCGCGTTTGGCTAAAGAGTTTCCACATTTGACCCGTTCTTCTGCTGAAGCCCCAAACGGGTGTGGCTTGCTGGGTTTCAACTCAATATGACCTCGGCAGACTTTTAAGGACCTGTCGAGATTACGTCGGGACAAGATTTACCAGCGTAGCTGTTGATACAGGTGCTCGCAATGATCCGCTGGCTCGGTGCAGCTGCGCGTGCGCGCGGGGCAACGTCTCCCTTTCACAAATGTAGCGGCGAAACTAGTTTTCCCTCCCACACAATGGAAAGCCATCAATTCTCATTTTAATGGGATCCAAGACATTAGTTTAGAGGAGAAAAAAACTACAGCAACCAGATACCTTAATTGTGTTTTTTTTTTTTCTTCACAAGAAATAACGCTGTGTGCAAAGTTAGTGTTTAAACCGAACTGAATGTTTAATCAGTGACCTTCACAAAAATGACAAATCCATGACGGCATCTTGAGTTCCTCGCCCACCCAAGAAAGTCAGAGACATGAAAGGCGCACGCACAAAAACACAAACACATAAGCAGCAGCTTAAGTGTGAGTTGAGTTGTCAAGCTCAGCGGCAGCAGAACTAATTACGCTACGACTCGTTGTTGTCGATACAAACACAGACACATGCGCACCTTAGGTGGCGGATAGCGGGGCTTTCTCGCCGTGGCGTTTCTGGCCTCGCGCCACCAGTCGGGCCCGCTTGCCACTTTATCTCACGGAGCGGCATGTTTGCCGTACTTGTGTGCTCACCTCCCCTCGAGTAGATGAGGCTGATCTGTTGTTTGTTCTTCACCCGCAGAGATGTGAGCTGTGTCCCCACAAAGATGGAGCCCTGAAGAGGACCGACAACGGAGGTAGAATCCCTCCCAGCGACACGCACGCACACACACACACACACACGCAGACACGAGACACGAAATACACACAAGCTTATTGTGTATTTCGGTATTTTGTCGTTAATTGCATGTCCCCGGCAAGTTTAAGGGGTGTAGGCGTGCTGGGAGAGTTATGTTGCTGTTTGTTGTGTCTGTGTGTGTGTGTGTGTGTGTGTGTGTGTGTGTGTGTGTGCGTGTGTTTGTGTGTAGCCTCTTTCTACCGTCCTCACCAGTCCATGTTTTATGTGTGTGTGTTTATGAGGGGGCGGGCCAGGATGGGTATAGTGCATGGCCTGTAAGGGGTCTCCTCTGTGGGTTCATTGAGAGGTCAGCCTGGTTGAGACTGTAAATAGTGTGTGTGTGTGTGTGTGTGTGTGTGTGTGTGTGTGTGTGTGTGTGTGTGAGAGAGACAGTCAGTCTCGAGAGAGGCACAGCTGTGGGATTGTGTCCAGGCCTGCAGGGAGGCATCAGGACAACACTAACACACACCGTTTTACTACTTTCTCTTTTATTTTACCCTCCCCGTGACCCCGCTCTCCCTCGCTTCTCCTCTCGCCATCTCTCTCCCCGTATCGTCCGTTCCTCGGCTCTTGTCGCTTCCTCTTTACTTGTTGATTGGTGTGGTGAGCTGCTTTATCGCTGTCCCACCTGAAACAACAACAGCAGAGTAAAGGGACTGGTCCAGAACGGGTGTCGGATCTGGCTAAACGAAGAAAAAGGAGACAGAAGTTAAGTTTATAGCAGCCTAAATTTTTATTCTGTTGCATCTACCCAATAATTACTGATGCCTTCTTTATAGTACGGGTTTAAGGATAGCACACAAAAGTAGATAAAGTTCCACACTAATTGTTTTCAAACATTATCTCACATATTTAAGGGGTTTTAATAGATAAAAGTACCCTTTTTAAGTAATATTTTAGACGTGGCAAATTGGAGCTGCATACTGTCAATTTGACTGTACACACGCCTGTAAAACCGGTTTTATTCAAATCATAAAGCACTTTGTCATCTACAAATTGAAGCTCATTGTCTCCCCACATTGGACTTGGATAACCTGTGGGTGTGAGGGATGTTAGTGAAGGGCTGCTTTGTTGGGGGTTTTAGGGGCAAACACTCCGAATGCCTCGCTTGAGGAGGAAGGTTGGGCCGCTTTTATAGTTCTGTTTTATAGGCCTCTTCGAGATTCTTGGAGGAACTTCAAAACAACAACATCCCCCCCCCCCCCCATCCCCTCCCCCGGACCCCCAATTTCACACCCGCTGCCTCCCTCTCCGTCCCGCCCTCTGCCCTCCTGCCTCTGCCCCGGTCAAAGGCAGGTCGGGGGTTCAACTGTAAGTTTAAGCCTGTTTTTGTTTCCGCCATGGGGGGAAAAACAGACACCTCCAGTGTGCCCCTCCCTCCATCTGACCTCCCACTGACCGCCTTCTGCTCCTCCTCAGCTTCTTGTAAATTTTGCTGCACCCTCCGTTTGTCTTCACTGGCAGGCACGTGTGTGTGTGTGTGTGTGTGTGTGTGTGTGTGTGTGTTTACTTGAGTAGATTAGCTACCAAGCTGCAAACTGAAAAATTTAAGATTCAACATCTCAAAGTTGAGGTTGCTTTAATTGGTGTTTTTTGTTTGTATTTATTTCTTTATTGCAATTTACAAGTCAAATGGTGCAATGGATGACACGATGTGTTATGTAATACAAGAGGGTCCCATCATCATTGTCATCATTGGTCTTGACGGGGTTGTTTGTGTTTCAACCTCTGAGTTTAAAAGGCAGCATGCCCACCAGCACAAATACACCCAACCGAAACACTTAACTTGGGCCTCGAGTTCTGACCCGAAACACACCGCACACTCTCATCCACATCCGAGGTGTTCTCAGGTGTTCCAACAGGTCTGACGTGCTGTGCTGGTTGTCTCTGCAGGCTGGGCCCATGTAGTTTGTGCCCTTTATATACCCGAAGTGGAATTCGCTAATGTTTCGACGATGGAGCCCATAGTACTCCAGTCTGTGCCGCACGATCGCTACAACAAGGTGGGAATGGAAGCATCCACGTGTCCAAACATTTCGCTCAATTGCAAATACAATGCAAGTGTGAGGGAGTCTGTTCAAATCAAATCTCTTCACTGTGTGTGTGTGTGTGTGTGTGTGTGTGTGTGTGTGTGTGTAGACGTGTTACATCTGTGAGGACCAGGGAAGAGAGAGTAAGGCAGCCAGTGGAGCCTGTATGACCTGCAACAAACATGGCTGCCGGCAGGCCTTCCATGTCACATGGTGAGACCCGTTCACTTCGCATTAAGCTCACTGGACAAAGGAGGTAATTCTTCCTTCAGTTCTTCACTCACGCTCAAGGACCGACTTGGAATATTTGGTGTGCTGTTGAGTAAAAATCCCCTCACATCACGTGTGTTAATTGGGATTCTCGTTGTGTCACAATGTTTCACGTGTTTGTTTTTTTCTTCTTTTTTAAAATTTGCCTCGCGCAACTCTCTGACCCAGCGCCCAGTTTGCGGGGTTACTGTGTGAAGAACAAGGATCAGACGCAGACAATGTCAAGTACTGTGGATATTGCAAGTACCACCACAGCAAATTGGTGAGTGTACTTCTATTTTTGTTCTATTCTACACATGGCAATGTGTCTGAGACTCTCAACCACAACTAAACTGACTAAATCATTCTTCTCAACGGATCTTTTTACGGCCTTGAGTGATGTTCTGTGTATTTAAACTCAGTATCAAGTTTAAGAAGATTAAATATTAATTGCACTGATTATCTGAGTGCATATATGATAGTAATAACTGACCCGTGGTCCCTGTTTTATATTGTTTTCAACCCATGTGAATGAGCATTTATGCGTTTTCTTTGCCTGTGACGATGTAGACACACGTCAATTTACCTGTATCACATAGAATCAGGATCTTCCTTTTATTCTCGAGCCGCTCCTCCCATCCACGTCCTCCTTCTTGCGCCCCTCTCCTTTTTCCTTCCTCTGTCTCTTTGCCGCTCAGACGTCTTCCTCCTTCAGTCGGCTTCCGGTTTCTGTCGGCCTCCTCCTCCTCCGCTCCCTCCCTCTATCTTTGTCATACATCTGCTTCCCCTTTCTCCGGACCAATAAATCCATCTCGCCACCATCTCTACTGTTATTCCTCCTCCCTTCCTGATGGCTGTCATCGCTCTGCTCCTTGTTGAATGAGTACTAAGCTCGGGTTTACAGGTGCTGCTTAAGGTCCCTTGAGTGCAGTTTCATGTGAAATATATACAACAATATTTTCGTCTTCTTCACCGGTGAGATTCTGCGGCTCAAATCCAACTGTTTCTGATTCTGAAAACCATCTACATCCAAGTGGAAACCCCAGGGCTGTAGTCGTGTAGGGGGACGTAAATATGTGCACATGTGCCAAACTTTATTTTGTCTGCACTTTATTATTATTATTTTTTACATAGAATTCACATTTGATCCTAATTGGCAGCTTGCTGGTTTCTTTTCCATGATTGCTACCTTATCTTTTGTAGTCTGACTATGCGACCAGCATAATATAACCCTGATAGGTGGATAGCCGGCCCATTGTCGAGGAGAATTCAATCAGATAAGAGAAGAATGAGGAGGACAGGCATATCGACACACTGGATATGCAGAGGGAACATATTCAGCTCACGCATTCACGGTCTTGTTGCCTTCCTGATTTTGGTCCACTTCTCTGTTAACAAGCTTTTGGAGCTGTGTGCATGTAGGTATATACACACATGCATACATGCACACGCTTCGCAACAGCTGCTGTAGGGACGCAAATATGAGAAAAGCGCGGGCGGGGCTTCACGATTATCATACCTGGACCAGTGATCAGCTGGAAACCCGGGACCAGCTGCATAGTGTACACACACACACACACACACACACACACAGAGACAGACAGACAGACAGACAGACAGACAGACAGACAGACAGACAGACAGACAGACAGACAGACAGACAGACAGACAGACAGACAGACAGGCAGACAGACAGACAGACAGACAGACAGACAGACGGCCGACAGACGG